TTTTCTTTTTATGTTCTTTTATGTACCCTTTGTTATTCCACTTATCGAGATCAAAAGGTTGGATTGAGACTTCAAAAACTAGTTTAACCCCGCCTAAATTTCTATATGGGTGTGGACGGTTGTGTCTCATTGACGTAAACCCTGAATCTCCATGTGATTGTCCGTCTAAATTGTAAACATTTATAAAAAAAATTAAAATAAAAAGTTGTATTTATCAGTTGGAAAACAATGTAGAATCAAATTTGAAAGAAAATACTTCCTCAAAAAATTTTTATCTAAATTTAAAATGTAAAAAAGGAATATTTTGCCGAACAATGAAGGTTAATGAAAGTTTCTTTAATTTAAAACTGTTTCGTTAAAAAGAAGGAGGAACGTTATGAAGTTTCCAATACCATGGAACGAAAATATGATATTACCATGTGTAGTATTTTATCATAAAACCGTGTGTGACCATGTGCCTGGCGGTACCAAGCTTGTCTCCAGTGAGAGATGTGGGTTTAATCTCCGGAAGGTTTCAACCACGCATTTGCCTCGGTCTATAGCACATGGCCTCAAGAAATATGAGAAAAGACTGACCGGCTCGAGTAGAACAATGTCCGGTTAGGGTGTCATGTCTCCCTGTGAACAGTTACCTTGAGAGCTAGCAATGAAACGATGACGACCCGATTAAGCATGTCTATCTAATACAAAGAGGTAGAGTAAATTGCCCCTGCTCAGTTTTCTTTCACTTAGGATCAAAATCAGAAAGATGTAACGGTGAAAACCTGCTGGAAAAGGAATATAAAAGAGTGAATATAATATTCTTGAAATACGTTTCTACAATTTTACATATATGAGGGTGTGGATTGGGGTTTACAGAATAAAGAATAATGGGCATACAATATAAAGAATAGAGAATATGGGGTGCAAAGATATAAAGAATAGAGAATAATGGGCAAAAAGTATCAAGAATAGAGAATAATGGGCAAAAAGTATCAAGAATAGAGAATAATGGGCAAAAGTATCAAGAATAGAGAAAAATGGCAAAAACAATTAAAGAATACAGAAATGAAGGACCCCCATCAAGACCCTCATATATCCATAAAATCTATCATTGAATTCGGTGCTACATATATTGCGGTTAAAGATCATTTTGATACAATATTACAAATTTTACATATTTTTGTAAGATAAAGATAAAGATATTATTATATTGGTTTCAAATTCAAAATAACAGGACTGTTACCAAAATTCCAAATTTACATTGGATATATATAAACACACAAACATATATTTTTTAATATTTATATAATTTACATATCCCTCCATGATTAAAAAAAATATTGTTAAATTGAGATATTTGTATAGTCTGGTTTCCGGTGAGGAGTTTGTAGCACACAGTTATTTACTATGCAATAAAACATTTCTAGTATACATTTGTACATAGCACTAATGAATTTTAGATTGCAGGTATGAACTATGTATATATATCTCTAAGTAAACAATTAATATTATCAAATATTATCACATGCAACCAGAAACCAATTGACAGTTGTTTTATTTGATCTAAGTAAAGTTTTTGCAAATTGGCCCGATGAATATTGTGCAAGTTAGGATAGTGAAAATTACGATTAAAACGTGCTACATTTCCTTGTCAATTAACCATCCTTCATTCTTTTGTTGACAAAACATCTTCAAAACAAATTTTTCAGGTTTAAATTCTTTTAAAAAAAATAACCATAGTAGCTTATTATTCATGCCATAATTAGTAGGACGTATTTAGTTCGTTCCAATGAATTCGAAAAAAAACTAGAGGGGCTTATTTGGTATATTCAGTGTCCACGTTGCGTTCGCGTCAACAATCAGACCTAAGACACTGCCCAGCATACTAGATCATACTACCATATCATTGTGTACGCATGTGCACCTTGTTTTTGTTTCACTTAAGGTAAAATTCAGAAAGGTGTCACGGTGAAAACCTCTTGGAAATTGAATATTAGTGCACATAATATTATTGAAATATTTTTCAGCAATTTTACATATATCCAAGAAATCTATTATTTAGTTCAGTGCTACATACATTGCAGTTAAAGATAGTTTTACTCAATACAATATTACAAATAGATTTAAAAAAAATTGTAAGATATTGCTTTTAAGATATCTTTAACCAACATGAATAAAATTCTTTTTGAAAGACAGTACATAGCTTTCCTTGAAATAGAATTCCCATTTTGGCTAAAAATGTTCTTCTAATACATTTATAGCTAGTTATCCAAACAGAAGTTTTTACCTATCTTTAAACATTTGATATTTTGATGATAAACGTATATGTGTTTCATTATATAAATTAATATCCACTAATGTGCAGCATATGTGACGATATAGCACAATGGAATATTGTTTTATTTGTAAGTCGTACATGGTAGTGAAAATTTCATCTTATAAAATTGTAATGTATACTTAATTTTATACATGTATCTTTTGATATGAAATATAAATAATGTCACATTTGTGGCCTGCATCATCATAACTTGTATGAATTGTTATTTGCCTTCAGTGGACCCACTGCGAGAGGACCATAAAGTTACATATGCAATGGCAACTTACTTTGTATTTAATATTGTTCTGTCTACACATATAGCCCAATCATCGGAATATTGTGCAAGTTCTGACAGTGAAAATTACAGTTAAAACTTGGTACATTTCCTTGTCAGTTATACGTTCTCTATTCTTTTGTGACAAAACTCCTTTATAACATTTTTTTCTAAAAATCCGAAACCTAGAACAAACGTTGAAGGGATGATAAAACAAAAAAAGGACCCAAAGTATAGCCGGACAAGTAACCAGAGCTATGCCTGAGCGAGATACAATCCTTAAGGCAAAATGATTTCTTAATTTTATAACAGCAAATTTAGATAAATAAATATCCGAATTTGTATATACCAGTACAGAACAATTTTACAAATATCCATAAAATCTATTATTCAGTTCAATGCCACAAAACCGTCCTTCTCTCCTTGGTATTAACCTAAAAAGGACGATGAAAATCGCCTATCGTTATACCAAGGATTTGTATAGTAGAACCTTGGTTATACTGGATTCCTAAACTTCAGAAAAATCATTATAAAGAGCGATATATATCTGGCTCATCAAGATATTCAACCAAACATCTCTCGTAAGTTCTTACCACCATCCTTTCCAACGTAAAAGATGGCTCTCAGAAATGTTGTGATGAGGTATATTCAACCAACGGTGTCGGTCAGATATGGATTCTTAAAAATTCTAAATATCTACTCCGAATCTCCAATCACAATCGACAATTTTGTAGTAATATCAAAATTTTTGTTTTTTCTTCGCTTTACACTACTATTCCCATGCTCGATTGAAAGATCGAATACATCGCTTTTTAAACAGAATTTTTGTTTACAAAAATGTGAAACATATATACAAATTTGGTTACGGTCATGGAGAATCTTACTTTGCGAAGAATTACACTGATTCCATAAACAAATACACCGAAGATGAAATCTTCAATATGCTGGACTTTTTGATCGACAAAATATTTGTTGAGTTTGGTGGATAGATATTTCAGCAGACAGGTGTCCCATGACTGGCCCATTCATTTTTGTACTTATGTGGAGCAGAATTCATGATAAGACAAAAAGAAGAAGTATCTTGCAATTTTATTTCACTTTTAGATATATTCATGATGTTCTATCCCTCAATAACACACATTTCAATGAGTGCTTACATCTTATATATCCTAGTGAATTTCAAATTAAGGATACTGCCAACATAAGAAGCTCTTCTTCATATCTTGGATCTTTTTCTTGATATTGACACTTACGGAAAACTTCAAGCTAGAATCTATGAAAATCGTGATGATTTAAACTTTACAATTGTCAACTATCCAGTTCTCCGCATTAACATACCATCTGCTACTTCGTATATGGTGTTTATATATATCGGTCAATACATTAAGCTCGTAAATGTTAACACCATGTAGACTTTATTAACAGAGGTGTGCTCCTTACCCAAAATCTGCTCTAACAGAGTTATCAGGAAAAAAGTATAACAAAAATACTGACCTCCAAGGTAAATTCAAAAAGGGAAAGTCCATAAAAACCGACAAAAACAAAGCTTATATACAAAAAGAATGACTGAGATCAACGCATCGTAAGTTTTACGGTCACCATCACAAATTGGTTTACCGATATAATGTGTCGGTGTCTCAACTCACGAGATTCGAACATCGGTAACCGACTGTCGCTTTATTAGGCATTTGATATATGGATAATAAACGTATACGTGTTTCGTCTTATAAATGTATAATGACATATGTAATGCCAACTTACTTTGTATTTAATATTGTTCCATCTATACTCATACGGCCCAAATAATATATTGTGTAAGTTATGATAGTGAAAATTACGGTTAAAACTTGCTACATTTCCTTGTCAATTATCCTTCAATCTCTTGATGAGAAATTTCCTGATAACATTTTTTTCAAGGCACTTTATATATATATATATATATATATATATATATATATATACATTTACATTACATGTATCTTTCACGTGAATCCGTTAGTTTGATTGGCTAACAACAATCACGCGTCATCCAAAAATTAACCTTCATATCAAAATAAAATGTTACATTCGTAATGACACGTGCTTCCACAAAAAAGTGCACAGGTAAATAAAAGAAAAACTTGATAAAAACAAGGATTTGTATAGTAAGAATTTTACTATACAAATCCTTGTTAAAAATAATCCAGAAATTATCCATTTTTTTAATTATTTACAGTTAACTCAACACTGATTGATTTCATTCTGTTTATTTTTGCACTTAAGTATTTTATACGACCCTTAACTCAAAAGCATATTTGATCATATTTAGTTGATAACGAAGAAATCCATTTCGGAAAACGGATCTGAACATTGGTGTGGCCTAATAGTCCTCTGTACGAATAAGTTATCTCCCCTGATATTTGATATCCATCACAGGTGGCAGTAGCAGTTTCCGCCGGCTACCGAGCACTTGTCAAGAAATAGGAGAGTAGAAATAAAAAGTGCAAACATGGATCCACAGACTTTTCTTGACATTGCTACAACAGTAACAAAACTGAAAATGTATCCATATTTCGATATAGCCCATTTTATGTTGATGTGCATGGCGGTGAGAGACGATATCCCACAAGGAACTCCAGGTTGGCATTCGATACTCACGAGCTTTATAATTTATAAACTAAGTAGAAATTTGAATAGACCGATGAATTGATTATCCTAGTCTCATGGGTTTTCGTGCTATTAAGAATGCATTGTGACGTCACAATTTCCATTGAAAATGCATACGAATTCATATCGTCTTGGTACCTGTTTTGACGCGGACCAGAAATGACGCACCGATTTAGTTAACGGTTTTATATTCCTAAACAAAAGCCGTGACGTCATCAACATTTGCTGTTCATAACATGATGTTGAAGGTCATCTGACTACAACAAAGATGCCTAAAACTCTGCCCAGAAATGTTATTATTGCTCAAAATATTAAAGACAATGCAAGTTCCGCCATTTTATTAAGGTCAAAAAATTTCTACCCTTCCCCGAAAGATTATCAGTCCTATCTCCACTTTGGTCAAGAAAAGCATGTAACCGCATGCTTCCCCATTTTGTGTTTTTCAAATCAAGTGACTGTCATGTGACATGGTTTTACATTTAAGCGGGAATCACTGTAGAACAAATGATCGTCGCTTATATAATTTTCTATGGTTTATCGATTTTTTTTCATTCAATGTATGAAGTATACATTGATAAATGTATTATTGTCAATGTTGTTTTATGAATGCAATTACTTTTTATTTTCAAATATATGGAATATGTATATCACTTTCATAAATTTTGAACAATTATATACCAAAATATAGGTTACATTCAAATTGATTAAAAATTTGGTGTTACAATCATCATGATCGTTAAAGTGAATGAAAATATCAAAAGTTGTTAATAGAATTGAATCTGTTGATCAGTTTAAATTTTAAAGAATCCGGATTGAAGCAATTTTTCGATTATCAGTTACGTGCAAGTGGTTTTTACTGGTTTGTTTACAGTGCGTCATTACTGGTACCCATCATTAGTTGGCAGTCCGTTTGTAATGTTAGCAAACATGAATTTTATTGCTATTACTGTATCAAATATCAACTGTTTAATGATTGAAATATAATGACAAGTTACCAATCTTTTATTCCATTCCGTTTTTCTAATTCTTTTAAATGGTAGATTAAATGCAGAGACAAAACAACCTTAGGTGCGTCATTACTGGTTCCTCGGGGATATGATCTGACCATAAATTTGAATGCTCCTTCATAATATATATGGGTTAATATTTTTGCTGCTGTGTCTGTCCGATCAACATGGTTTCTGGGTGATCCTGATTCTAAGGTTACAACAACAGGCACCTTGTTTCTATCCATTGACATTGTCATTGGGATGTGGACATATAGATAGTAGACCTCTCAAATATGGATGGAATCAAGTGCCTATGGTCAAAACATTGACACTACTATCACGTTGTGCTAATTGTTCTTTCTGGTACTCCATTTCTCTTCGCAGTATCTCAAGGTGTACTTGGGGTATACTTTTTACAGGTTGGGAACAACCCCCTATATGGTGATAATACCTGTATAGAGTGATTACCCTTCTATAGAGGGATAATTTGTTTAGACTGGATTTAAAACAGAAAATGGCAAATGCGCATTTTCTACTTATCATGGCAGTAACCTGCAACATTAGATGCACCAATTGATGTACTTTATAAAATATGCACGTCTAGTTTACTGCTAAAGTGACTGAATATACAATTTATTGTTCATCATAATTGAAAGCTGTGATGATCAGGTAAATTCCACTCAGTTTAGTCCGAGATTACTCTGACGTCCAACGGCTGTTTTGCCAGACAAGCTGGGGCCGTGGGACGTCAGAGCTCGTCCCATATCAAAAAGTGGATATTTGGCCGTCCAAAATAGATGCGCTGCTTCGTCGCTTCTGGTGCCAACGGACGGCCTTGGAATTATATAAATCGGGTATCAATTTGTTCATTTTTCATTTATCTCTTCATTTATGTAAGTTTCACCTACCTGCCACCCTTTATTTTCTCATATTTAGACAGTTTTCACAGTGACCCACCGATTCTGGCATTTTGACTTTCATTTTGAAAGATTGTCATCTGATCACGAGAAAAAAGTAAGGCACAATGGACTATGGGAAATGATGTATGCATATGACCCTAGGTCAATATGAATATATAATCCAACACCTCGCTCATTTACGATGCAAGTAATGTAAATATCCAAGAGCTTCCGAATGTTATCGTGGTTGGCACTAAATGCTTAATACCGATCTCCTGTAAAGGAGGTGAAAAATCGTGGTTGGCTACTAAATGTTAAATATCGATCTATAAAGGAGATGAAAAAAGTATAAATATTTGCATATTTGAGTCTCGAGGTCGCAAAATCTCTCGTAACTTGACGTCCATTTGAAAATAAAAGTAAAAATGTCTGAATCGATGGGTCACTGTGAAAACTGTCTAAATATGAGAAAATAAAGGGTGGCAGGTAGGTGAAACTTACATAAATGAAGAGATAAATGAAAAATGAACAAATTGATACCCGATTTATATAATTCCAAGGCCGTCCGTTGGCACCAGAAGCGACGAAGCAGCGGGCAAATATCCACTTTTTGATATGGGACGAGCTCTGACGTCCCACGGCCCCAGCTTGTCTGGCAAAACAGTCGTTGGACGTCAGAGTAATCTCGGACTACACTCAGTTATGCCTCTATGAACAGATTTGAATTGTTGATTTAACATAAAATTTAAAGGTCAACTGTCCCTTTTGTTGTTGATTAAGTGTTCAGATAAGTACACAATAGATTGCAAGTTTTGTTACTTTAGCAGACAACTGGGCATCTCAATTTTTAGTAAAGTGCAATACATGTAGTTGATACCTATAATGCTATAAATTATAGCCAATATAACAAGAATTGCGCTTTTGCAATCTTCCAGCTTGAAACCCAGTCTAAACAAATATATCGCTCTATAGAGGGGTAATTTTATCCCTCTATAGAAGGGTAATTTTTTTTTTTTTTTTTTTCTTCCGCCAAATTTTGTTCTTGCGATAAATGTTTGTTTCGCAATATGTCGCTTAGATATTTCTCATATTGTATCGTATAGTTTATGCGCTTTTAAATTTCACCCTGCTAAGCCGAACCATTTTCTTTGTAAGAGTTATCTCCCTATTCACTGTTTATCATCTGTGTGCATCTCCTTCGTAACAAAAAAAGATATCGACAAAATTCTTTTTACAAATTATTCGTTACATCCTCAGGAATTTTTGGCTAATTTGGATCGAAGCGATTCGATGAAATTTTATAGGAGTTATCTACCTTTATCAAATAAATTTGTCGTTATGTTTTTGTTACTCATAAATTGTAAGCCGTATAAACTTAAAGTCTTTTTATTTAAGGTTCTTGGATCCTAACTTCGAAAATGAGGTCAAGGTCAAAGGTCAAGGTCATGTTCTGAATTTTGTCTTTTGCTTGTTTTTGCATTTTCTCCGATATTTTTAATGTAATATATTAAAGAACAAGTGCAAAATGTTTGTTATATTGTGATGAAGATATGATAAATTTGGTCTGAGACAATCCAGCGACATCTTATTGGAGTTATTGCCCCTGAAATGTTTTATTTTAAGGTAAATTGATTATTACTTCATATTGGTACATGATAAAGCCATAAGATCTTTTGCAAAATGTTGGGTGACATATGACCTTGAAAAATGTCAACCGGAAGTGACCTTGAGTGAACCGGAAGTAGTCATTTTTGCACTTATTTCATGTAGAAGTACATAGAAACCATATATTTTTTGAATGGTCATACATTAATCTATCATTTGAGACCGGAAGTGATATTTTATAAACCGGAAGTAGCATATTATCTCCCTTTTTACAGGCAAAAGTATATATAAACCATATATTTTTGGAATCAGTGTAAATAAATCTATCATATGAGACCAGAAGTGACATTTTCTTAACCGGAAGTAGCCAATTATCTCCCTTTTTACAGGCAAAAGTATATATAAACCATATATTTTTGGAATCAGTGTAAATAAAGCTATCATATGAGACCGAAAGTGACATTTTCTAAACCGGAAGTTGTCAATTATCTCCCTTTTTACAGGCAAAAGTATATATAAACCATATATTTTTGGAATCAGTTTAAATAAATCTATCATATGAGACCGGAAGTGACATTTTATATACCGGAAGTAGCATATTATCTTCCTTATTACAGGCATAAGTATATACAAACTATATATTTTTGGAATCAGTGTGAATAAAGCTATCATATGAGACCGGAAGTGACATTTTCTAAACCGGAAGTTGGCAATTATCTCCCTTATTTCAGGCAAAAGTATATAGAAACCATTTATTTATTGAATCAGTATGAAGAAATCTATACTTTGACGTTATTAATAACTTTGAGTAAACCAGAAGTAGCTTCCTATCAATTATTTAGAAAATTGATGTGGAAAGACCTTCAATTGTTCTTTGAACAATTGGTTTTTAATTTTATTCGTATTCTTTCAATAAAGTATATAAACACATTTTGTTTTAGTTTATTTGCGTACCGCCGTTTCCATTACCTGGGATACGAAATTAAATAAAACAAATTGTTCTAAAGATAGATTTGTTTCCATGACCCGTATGTACAATGTACATTGTTACGCTTTGATTAAAATAAACTGTTTAACAATACTACACAGTTTATAATCATTTTAACAATAGATATGTAATGAACTGCCTTTGATATGGTATTTACCACTTGCACAGTGATGTAACACTGTTTCTTTAACATCGTTAGTTTCATATATGCAAAGCAGTGATGGGGCCCTGTACGGGTAATTTGCTGGACACGAGTGTTGAAAGTGAGAAAATTTAATAATAGGAAGTAAATGCTCTTTTCATAAAATATTAAAAATAAATGATTGATGTATAAAATCTTTCTCCATATATAAATGCCCTGTAAATATTTAACATAAATGCAGATCACCCCAAGCCAAATTACAAGAGTTCACATTGGTTAATGATCGATAATTAGCAGACGTTATTGTTTTTAAAATTCACCCTAAATGTAATCTATGGACAATGTTTGAAATCAAGTCAATTATTAACACCTTTTAAGATAGAATGGTCAGTGTTTTTACAACAATTACCTGTTTGACATTTTTATGACCTCGAGGCTTAAAATAGAACATGGGAAACTCCACTTGTAGAGCTATGCATATAACCGGACAATTTAACATTAAATGAATGGGAAATGGTTTTGTGCAGGAGAAAATTATGCAATTAACCGAATTATGCTATTATGCGATATGCAATTAAGTGGAGTCGACTGTATCTGCCAATTTGATTGATTACAATTAAGGTTATGATTGATATCAAATTATTTTAATTTGATAAGCAATATCACAACTTACTAAAACAAAAGGCGAAAAAAAAAGATATTATTCCTTTGAAACTTAATTTTTAACCGGATTTTCGAAGGAAAAATCTGTTATTGATTTGGGGATGTACGGTGGGCGGGCAGCTGCCAAACAGTGTCCGTACATTAACATGAAAACGCTTTGACGAAATCTTTTCAAATTTAGATATGTTGTTTCCTGTGACTAAATGAAGGTCAAGTTCAATTTTCACGATTTCAGTCGTTCCGTTGTTGAGTTGTAGACCATTCAGTAGCAAAAGTGATACCTATTATGATTTATTTATTTTGAGTTATATCCCTTTGAACAGAAATTGTGTAATTAATAAGTATATTAGGCATCAGGGGAGATTAGTATTGTACTAACTGATTTTACCCTCTTTAAATAAAGTTTTTATTATTATTATGGATAGATATAGTCTATCAATGATTGTATCTGTTTTATTCATACAATAATTTCCACCTATTATCAAGATAACAAACATGTGGTAATTATCAACTAACAAAATTATAATTGGAGTGACAGATTTATTTGAAATTTTTTTGTTTCCTAAGTGTTGTTGATGATAAGCTCTGTAGGACAGTATAAATATAGTTTTAAATTTTTTGTGATAGGCTTGTTTGTTATTCTGTATAAACTAATTTTCTGAATGCTACATTGTATATATATATATATTTATGGCGCAAACTCCTTTAAAAACTAAAACTTATTTTGTTTATTAATAAACATGTATATAGATTTTTTATTTTGAGCCCAGTTTTCAAGTTAGTCTAAATCGGGGGTCCAAAATTAAACTGTTTGATTTAAAAAAAATTGAATATATGCATGATATGGGGTTCTTTGAAATGCTGCATCTAAACTTTTTTTTTATTTGATCATGTTTGGGGGTCCAGATTTGCAAATATCATTTTCATGCAGGAAAATCCGGTTTGCTGTCACTCTGACAGCCTCTTGTTTATGAACTTGTAAACAGTCTGAATATGCAACCGAGTTATGGGATTTTATTTATAAAAAAGGGGGATTTTCCAGTTTGTAGACAATAACTCAAAAGTGCTTTGAGCAGTTTTCATGAAACTTTGGTGACTGGTTTATATCTATTAAAATAACCTCCCATCAGTTTTTTCTATAAATTTCTGATGTGAGTCAATGTGACATTTAGGAGTTATGGAACTTTATTCATTGAAAAGGCGATGGGCGCTCATGGCGCAGCTCTTTTTTCTATATAGGTAAGAAAGAAGGTTGTTTTTTTCTCACATCAACAGAATAAGATTAGATTTAAAATAGTTATATTTTGTATATTTTAGGTTCACCCATATTTTCACGTAAACATCCATTATCGCTATGGTTATCCAGTATGTTACTATGTTTTGGTGGAGGTATTATTGCCAATATGTTACTAGGGGAACCATTAATAGTACCTTTAAAAGACCACAGAGCTATTCTCACAGCTACAGCTGTATGGTAAGTTTGTTTTATTTTTATCTGTGTAACTTGTAAGAATGTGTACGTAACAGAAGATCATGTACATTTAAGATGTCCTTTGAATGGGTACTACAATGGTCTGGTAAATATAAGATTTTTAATTGAACAGAATGGGAAGGTTTATATTGTATAAACACATAACATACAAACCGTTGCTCTGGTCTCGTGTTAGCCTGTTTGCCTAGAGTGTGGAAGGTTGTGGGTTTGAACTTTGAAACCCAGTCAGGTTAAACCAAAGACTTTGAGATTGGTATTTGCTGTTTCTCTGCTATTGCCTAATTATAAGCATGCAACATTGAGGAGTAAGATCAAAGACTGGTCACCTTGGAGTTAAAATGATGTGCCTGGGTAAAGTGACGAACTGCTGACTGTTACCTTATGAAGTAGCACGTTAAAATTCCAGCTTGGCGTGTCGGTCTAGTACAAAGCAGAGTTTACTTCATATCACATTATAATGTTCTTGTTCTTAGTATGCATTCAATTTGCCACTGGACTGGAACAGCCTTTCATCCATAACATAACTTGTATGTGTAACACAAGATGCAAAAAGACTATTGAATTTATTAAGGTCACTCTCTAGTATTCAACAACACAAGTACTGTAACATTACATAGGAATCAAATACAAAATGTATATAGATTAGACCATTTAGAATCATTGAAAATGTTAGAAAGTTGTACACCAAAACAATTTATTAACTTGATTAACTTGGGAGAGAATATGTTAAAATTTTGTTGAATCTCAATGCAACTCTAAAAATAAACCATTTTTTTCCATTTAAAAACATGTGCCAATAACTTGACTAACTTGTGGTAGAAATATGTATAATAACAAATTCAGAGGACATTATCAAAACTGTGTAGATTTAACAAAAGCAGATTGACAATAACACTGAAAATTTACTTAGGAAATATAAACTCTTTCAAAGAATTTACCAGGGATTTGAGTTGCTTCAAAAGAATAAGCATGTTCCGATTCTGCATTCTGTACCAATGATATGGCAATGTTTGGTCAAAAAGTCATATAGGAGTCAAATCTAATGTTATGAGAATATAAATCACTTCAAAAAATGAGATCTTGTGCCATATTGTGAAGTTTTGGATTTTAACATTATTTTAAAGGGGCATTAGCTGTCAAATTCATGTTCACCGATTTGACTCAAATTCTCATATTCGACTTATAACATATTAAAACGTATATTCAAATTATAAAATGTCTAAAATAAACAATTTACGAAGCATGGACTCGATAGTATGTACACATTTCGTGTGTATTTTAGGCTAGACGTCATCTAATTAACCATCGAGGTGACCTCGGAAGACTGCTGACGGTCATATAACCCGATATAAACATAAACATATATATAAATAGATAGCGACCTCGTGCAATTAGATTTTTCTAGGTCTGTTTAATTTCATAATATAGGTTAAAAAATATGTTAATAATTTAATTGTTTTTACCTGTTTATTGATGAGTTTTTGTAGAACGAAGTAGTCAACCAAATGGGTTACCCTTGTTTCACTTCCAATGTTGACATTCTTTTCATTTTAATAGCTGAATACGCCTACAGTAGTTCATGCGTAACCCACCTCTAGCTAAGGGGTTCAATTGAAGGTCACATGAATACGGATTTGATAAGATTGAATTATTTACTTACCAAGTGAATAATTCATTAGCAATGTTTCTTTGCTTATTTTGACAAAACTGAACTGAACTGGCTTCTAAAAGCAAATTATTATTTCACTATTTCACTTTCATTAATGGTTGAACAAAAAAAAATCATATTCTATTTTTTTCTCTATCTCGTAGCTAATGCCCCTTTAAAATCAATATTTTAAGCATTTAAAACATTTATTTTGCAATGACTATTTTTTTGTAGGTATTTAGTTAACTACTCTCCGTTTGATATAGTGTATAAGGTAGCAAAGTTTCTTCCATTTAAATTGGTAATATGTGGTCTGAAGGAAGTACAGAGAGCACACAAAGTCTACCATGCAGTTGTTCATACCATGAAGATATATCCAAGTTCATATTTAGTTATAGTACTTATAGGAACACTTAAAGGTAAAGATATTATTAACATAAAGTACATGTACTCATAGGAACCGTTAAAGGTTAAAGATATCAATAACATAAAGTACATGTACTCGCAGGAACAGTTAAAGGTTAAAGATATCAATAACATAAAGTACATGTACTCATAGGAACAGTTAAAGGTTAAAGATATCAATAACATATAGTGCTCATAGGAAGAGTCATAGGTAAAGATATCAAAACATTTAGTATTCAAGTGGACAGTCAATGATAAAGATATCATTAACATATACATGTAGTGCTCATAAGGATCTAGTCTAAAGTTGTCATGGACATGTAACTGTAGAATTCTTATCAAAATAGGATGTCACAGACTGTTTAAGACATCTTTACACTAAATCTGTTGGATGTGTGCTGATTGATACTCAAGTCTAGGAGAACATGATTTATTTACAACATAGAGATTGTTGCACATGTTGCATTATTGTACACACATAAGGCCACACCATAGTAACCAGGTAAACTGTCATGGATTAGATGTTCCTTTATGATATGAGTTCCATATAGAAGATATATTCTGGAATATTATTTCCACTGAAAGAAATATTACAATATTTGTTCCAGAGAGAATGAAGTGTATAGAGTAGTTATTCTAACACGAACAGATATTATTGCATTGTTTATTACAAATTTACCATTGGAACTTCTGTAAGGAGGAACAAATATACCTCAACAGAGCAAGACTTTAATAAACCAGGTACTGATGTCAAGTTTCCTAATTTGTATATTTGAATGAGGATCACAATTAGATAGTCTATTGTTGATGTATTTCAGGTGCCGGTAGTGGATTTATGAAGAATTTCGAACGTTTGATAAGAGGCTTTTGGATTCCTGGATCCAATGAATTACTTCAACCTTCTTTGTAAGTAAATACAATACCTTCCTTGTTAGTTTTTGAGGGTATGTAGGTAACCTGTTGCAAGGCATAATTTCTGCTGCATCCTCTCTTTCTCAGTGGCTATCTAAATTTCCCACCCTTCATTAATTTCCTGTCAACCAACTTTGCAGAACTTATACACAATGCTTATTACCACAAAACACAGATTGGGTTTGAATTTTGGTGGCGTCACTATAACCGTTTTAGAGTTATGCCCCTTTTAAAATTGAAAAATTGCTGAATTTTTAGTTTCCGTTTTATTACTTTAGTTTGCCTCAACCAAATGTTATGAAACTTATACACAATGCTTATTACCACATAATACAGATCAAGTATGAAATTGGGTGGCATTACTTGTACCGTTCTTGAGTTATGCCCCTTTATAAACATAAAAATTGCTGAATTTTTCATTTCCGTTCTCTAACTTTAGTTCACCTCAACCAAATGTTTTGAAACTTATACCGGTACACAATGCTAATTACCACAAAATACAGATCAAGTTTGAATTTTTGTGGTGTCACTTTTACTGTTCTAGAGTTATGCCTGTTTACAAATGGAAAATTTGCTGAATTTTTCATTTCTGTTCTCTAACTTAAGTTAGCCTCAACCAAATGTTATGAGACTTATACACAATACTTATTACCACAAAACTCAGATCAAGTACAAATTTGGGTAGCATCACTTTTACTGTTCTTCAGTTATGTCCTTTTATAACTTTATATGATATGCAAGCGGGGACATCATCTGTGTCCCATGGACACATTCCCCATTTATTAAAAGAGTTATGCCCCTTAGAAACATTAAATATTGCATTGTTAGCGCTCTGATGTGTACAATTCTTGCCAGAATTTTATAAAACTTATATCATAGGTTTATATTAGCAATGTCTTTGAAGAGTTCGAAAATAAGTGTCGATCAATTATTTTTAAAAGAGTTATGCCCTTTGGAAATGTTATGGAAAATTGCCTTATGAGCGCTTTTATGTGTACAATTCTTGCCAGATTTTTTTGAAATTTATATTATAGGTTTATTTCATCAATGTTTTTGACGAGTTCAAAAATCAGTGCCGATCAATTATTTTTAAAAGATTTATGCTCCTTGGAAATATTGATTATATGGAAAATTGCATTGTTAGCTCTCTCATGTGTACAATTCTTTCCAGAATTTTATGAAACTTATATCATATGTTTATATCAGCAATGTCTTTGACACTTTGGAAAAATAAACGAAGATCAAATATTTTCAATGACCCTTGGAAAAATTAATTATAACGGAAATTGCATTGAATTTGCTCTAAAGCCATTCATTTCTCCAAGATTTTGATTTGATTTTTGGTGTTTTAACGCCACTTTTAAGCACTGCTTTTGGGCTATTTCGTGGCGGCCAGTTTTTATTGGTGGAGGAAGCCGGAGTGCCCAGAGAAAACCATGGACCTTCGATAGGAAAACTGACAATCCTATTCAATTAAGATTGGAGTCGAGTGCACCCGCACAAGTGGGGTTCGAACTCACAACCTCAGTGTTGACTGGCTAGTGATTACAGTAGTAACAACTTAGACCACTCGGCCACCGAGGCCCCTCATTTCTCTAAGATATTTATAAATTGTTTAAAAGAACAAAAAAAAAGTACTTTTTTTGTCGAGCCTGCGACTTTTGTCGCAGAAAGCTCGACATAGGGATAGTGATCCGGCGGCGGCGGCGGCGGCGGCTACGGCGGCGGCGGCGGCGTTAGCTAACTTCTTAAAAGCTTTATATTTTAGAAGGTGGAAGGTCTGGATGCTTCATACTTTGTATATAGATGCCTCATGTTACGAAGTTTCCGTCAGTCACATGTCCAATGTCCTTGACCTCATTTTCATGGTTCAGTGACTACTTGAAAAAAAAGTTCAGATTTTTTGTAATGTTAGATTCTCTCTTATTATAAGTAATAGGATAACTATATTTGGTATGTGCGTACCTTGCAAGGTCCTCATGCCCGTCAGACAGTTTTCACTTGACCTCGACCTCATTTCATGGATCAGTGAACAAGGTTAAGTTTTGGTGGTCAAGTCCATATCTCAGATACTATAAGCAATAGGTCTAGTATATTCGGTGTATGGAAGGACTGTAAGGTGTACATGTCCAACTGGCAGGTGTCATCTGACCTTGACCTCATTTTCATGGTTCAGTGGTTAAAGTTAAGTTTTTGTGTTTTGGTCTGTTTTTCTTATACTGTATGCCATAGGTCTACTATATTTGGTGTATGGAATGATTGTAAGGTGTACATGTCTAGCGGGCAGGTGTCTTCTGACCTTGACCTCATTTTCATGGTTCAGTGGTCAAAGTTAAGTTTTTGAGTTTTGGTCTTTTTTTCTAATACTATATGCAATAGGTCATCTATATTTGGTGTATGGAAATATTTTATGATGTACCTGTCAGTCTTGCAGGTTTTATTTGACCTTGACCTCATTTTCACGGTTCATTGCTCAGTGTTAAGTTTTTGTGTTTTGGTCTGTTTTTCTAATACTATAAGCAATAGGTCAACTATATTTGTTGTATGGAAGGATTGCAAGCTGTAGTACATATCTGCCTGGCATTGTTCATCTGACCTTGACCTCATTTTCTTGGTTCATTGGTCAATGTTTAGTTTTCTTGGTTAAGTCTGTATCTTAGAAACTATAAACAATAGGTCAACTATATTTAGTGTATTGAATGATTGTAAGGTGTACATGTATTTCTTGTTTGGTTTATATGACCTTGACCTCATTTTCTTGGATCATGTTAAGTGTATGTGATAGTTGTAGTAAAGCTTTATATTTAGGACTATCAACATAATATCAATGATTAGTAAAGAAGGCGAGACATTTCAGCGTGTGCACTCTTGTTAGTTATTGCCCTTGGATAGATAAAATATGTGCAACACAGGGGACATTGGAACTCTGTTCTTTTATTAACATTGGCATTTCTCAATTCCACCAAGGTTATTTGACTCTGCATCTTCAGTCTTGGTTCATTGACTGAATGTTTTGCATAGTTGACATGTTAAAGTGTTGCCATTTTAATTTCAGCATTTGCATTATACTATCAAAATTACAAAAGGTGAGACACATCTCTGTGTCAACAGTGAATTAATGTAATTACAATATTTTAGATCATATTATAAGATTCTTCTTTGTAAATGAATAGAATACATTTCAGGATTAAGTGATAAGTAGAGATATGGGGAAAGATTTTGTAATTATTCACGAAACATGATCAATAGTCCTTCAATGTTAAAAAACAACCCTATCATGTATTATTTCAATGGGAAACTTTTGTCTTTGAAATTTAGTTTGAGTAATCATAGACTTATAACATATACAAAGCAAACAGAATAATTACAACATATTTATCAATTTTGGAAGTACTTCTCTTTGTTTGTGGTAATATTATTTATCCTTTTGATTTCTGATTTTAGATATTGATATTGTATAATCACCAAGGAAAATACTGTAAATTCAGAAATTTTGCTCACATTTATTATTACAATTGGACAAGAATGGGAAATTTATTATTCTGATTGGAGAAGAATTGGAAATTTATAATTGGGATTTCATAAAGAGCTAATTACAAATAATGCTATCAAACTTATAAATGGGAGTGTTATTTTTAGACAAAAAATTTTGAATTTACAGTATGTATGTACAAAATGTATTTGGTTGGATAATGAAACTTATTCTTTAGATAAACATTGAATATCACAAAAATCAGTACCCCATGTGTACAAGTACTGTCACAGTTTTTTTTCTTCAAGATTTTACTATAGTAATAAAGGTTAATTTGAAGGAGGTTATTTATTGATGTGGAACTTGGTTAACTCCCTCACATATAACTAAATAAAGTCTGAAGTTTGTGAGTGAGAAAGGCCAAATTAGCATATATAAAAGAATGTAGATATAACCTTTATTACTTTTATTTCCAATAAAATGGAGAAGAATTATTTTCAGTTTAAAAATTTCAACAACACTTTCAAACTATTTTGCCTGTGTAGGAACTCCTACCCATGATGCTATCGAATGGAAAAAGATTTAACATGTAACATTTGAACTATATTGATTTTTTTTTCAGCACCACCAAAGCTGTAATGGTGGCAGCTACTGTGTTCTTGCTTGAGAAACTGAATTACATCACTGCTCCTCATCCACTTGTTTATTTTGGAGTTGTCATTTTCTTTGTCTACTTCAAACTGTCAGCCATATTGTTAGGTATCCATGATCCATTTGCACCATTTGAGAATCTTTTCTGTGCCATTTTCATGGGAGGAATGTGGGATGCCATGAGAAGAGCTGTTACTAAGACAGAAACAAAGGAAGAAACTGATGTCACAACAAAGAGCAAAGAGGACAAAAAGAACGACTAAGGACTTATAGTAAACAATTGTTTCTGCCAAACTAACCTATCATTGCTTGATAGGACAAATTTCTCCTGTTATGCCATCAAACGACATTCCTATTGAAACCACATTAACTGAAAAAAAATAATAAAAAAATTTGTAAAAAAATTAAAAAGAAACATGTTTAACATACCAAAAAAACAAAAAAGAAATTGGTAGCAATTAATATAGAAACAAACAAGATTAAAGCAATTGGAGGTCATTATACACAGAGTAACATCATTAAAAGAAATATCTTTTAGTTTGATGTGGTTGAGTTTGAGAAAAAAAAGCTTATTAACTAGTTTTTTTAACTCTTGATTTCTACGCACTAATTGTCTCGCAGGGCTATTTTACTTTTTTAATGTTTCTAAATGTTCATGTAAGAACATAGCCAATAGGAATCAAGAGAGAGATTGAGTTTTCTATTGAGAGCTAGTATTTTCATTTAGTTTGGAACCCATTAGTGGCCATTCCTTGTGTGAAAATCTTAGAATTTAGTTGTGATATTTGTTTTTTATGAGATTGGTGAAAGCTTAATTGAAATGTGATCTGAATCATATTACATTATATCTGGAAAGCTTAAATATTGACGATATCTTTCTGCATTTGATATTTTGCATACCATTTGTATTCCAGGTGTTTATTGTAAAATAAAATGAAATTTCGCATTCAATGGTATGATCCTCATCTTTTTTTCACATTAGTTTTGATATATTATTTATAGATAATATTGAATTATACTTCAGGAATATTTAACAATAGATGTAGTTATAATGTGTAATCAAATTTATATTGTGAAACGATGTGATCAAGTATAGAATATTTTTAAGTTGACAATCAGTTTTAATAGTTTATAGACATTTAAGAATAAAGGCACACAATATCAATTAATGAGAACAAAACTTCGAATTTTTAAAACAAAAAAAAATCTCTATCCTTCATATTAATAAAAGACCATGCCTGTTTGGTATTTTTTAACAGGTCAGTTAAATAGTCCATAGTTTAGTATTTTAGGTAAGCTTGACCATGAAAAATTGACTTATTCCTACCTCATGTATAGCATTAATTCTAGATATTATATCTGTCGCTGTGTGTATAAAGAATTTTGACATGAGGTTAGTTTTCCTTTTTTTTTTTTTTCATAGAAAAAAGCAAATATTTCCAACAAGTGACATGTAAGCACATCACTGTGTAGAATGAAGGACCTATCAGGAATTTGAATGAGAATTTTTTAAGATAAATATATTTGTTCAAGTTTTGGGATCATACTTTAATACATCTACAGTATATTGAAGTAGGAATGAAACATAAGGCTAAAATAAAAATAATTCTTGTGTTTAGGGTTTCGCTATCTGCCGTATTATTTATGCCTCAAAATATCTACCTGAACTTATTTATTGACACTTTTGGTATGGTAGTCATTTGTGACAAAATTACAGGTCTTCCCATTTACTCAAAAAATCCTACCTACCATGATTTTCTTATGGAGGAAATCCAAAACACACATACTTTTTTGTTTGGCCTAATGATTTGTATTGATAATTAATAAAAAATCAGCACAGCTGTAAAACATTAGATGATACTGATCTATTAAGGCAGTTGTCAATGTAATCCATTTTTTATGTAACCAGTCAAAAAGTTCTAGTCTTGCATATACATACCCCTTTTAAATATTTAAACCGCAAATATTTTTTTTTAGGTGCTAATCATTAAATCATAACTTCATTTCCAATAATTATACTATTTTAAAAGCTATTCCACCATTGATACATTGATTATGCATTCTAATAAAAAGCTGTATTGTCAGTTAATTTAATAAACATGTTGCTATGATATATCATAGTCATTATATTGTCTAAAGCTAATTCTTAGAAGCATATGTTTTTATTCCATTTAATGTATGTTGTGAAAATGTTTGTATGTTTGCTTTGTTTCATTATATACACTTTTAAAAGTTGGAAAACATTTTATACACTTTTAAAAGTTGGATAAAGCATAGAAAAAAGTTGCTTCATATCAAATGGTGTGTATGATTTATTTTGTTCTTGCTCTTGTTTTTTTAAAAATGGAAATAATATTAATTTCATCATTTACATCATTTACAAAGACTTAGGAAAAATTATAGGAGCTTCAAAGTCACATTAGATGAAGCATCCGTAATTGGCATAGAAATCAATGAAACGTGCAATGCTTTGACTTACATATATACATGTAGTAATTTCTTCTTAAATTTTCTGATTGTCCTACAAAATTGACAAATTATTTTATGGTCATTGCACAGATTATGCCTAAAGATATGCAACTATTCAGTAATCACCATTGCTAATGACAAAAGTATTGACAATGCTTTCTGTTGTGTTACATTTTTTCTTTGGATCTATAGTATAGGGCCTGTAAAAGGGTGTAGTGTTTAATATTTTAACCTTTTGATGAAAATTCTCCACATTTGGTCAAAATGCCTCATTAATTATATTTTTTCCCTTGGAAAACTGAGAACCAAATGTTTGAACTTTCTTTGACCTGATTTAAGTTTAGTTTTTGTCCTGATTTAAGTTTAGTTTTTGTCCTGATTTAACTTTAGTTTTTGTCCTGATTTAACTTTAGTTTTTGTCCTGATTTAACTTTAGATAGATTATTTGTTTTGCTACAAAGTTATTTTATTGCACAATTTATATGTCAAAAAGATCTAGTCATTTTGTAGATTTTAAATGTTTAATGAGTGTGTTTAAAATGAATTGTTAGATAGGATGGGTTAACTTGTGAGTGTTATGATTGACATTGTTGTTCTAATATTCACGATACTGAAATAAACCCGGTAGTATTTATTTTCTTTGTGAAAATGGATGTATTTGTCATTTCTACCAAGATTATCGAACACTTGCAACTAATGTTTTGAACTTGTATTACATTAAAATATAGAATATTGAATATTAGAGCTTTTCTGCTTTTTCAATGGAATGTACTTGCAAGTATTGTATAAAATAAAAGAATCATCATTTCCAATCTAAAAGGTGTACAAGTTAATTCTGTACAACCTGTGTTCATTTCCATTGTTGAATGGTGGAAAAACAAAAAGCACTTGATCTGTAATGATAACACAGTCAAAACCCATTAATAAATATGCTTTTTTTTATTTTCTTAATCAGCAGTTATATTCCCAAAATAGGTTCTTATAGCTAATGCTATGATATGATACCTGAGATTTGCAGTCCACAGACAAATTTTTCACCTAGAAGTCTTGTAATAAAGGTTATTTGGTCAGTTCACGTATAGACACAATGTCAAATTTTTTATGCAGGTTGTTATTAAAATACCACCAATTGCTATTAATGACCACATTTGTACATAAAGGGTAAAAAATATTTCAAATTATTTATTGTAATGTCCTATTTAATGTAATTGTCTCCAGGCGAAATTTTGCTTCGGTGCTGGTTTGGTATATAAGATGCTGCTTCTTTAAGAATTACTTAACCTAGATTGTATTTCTGTGGTAGACATACATACTTGTTATTACCTCTTTTGAAAAAGGAGATCTCCCCAGGATTCTGTAATGTGGGGGCACTATGTTAAGAGATAGAGAAAATCATGTTTTGATTGTTGTACAGTTATTTTTAATTCCATTAATGAAAAGAGATCATAGATAAAAGATATGTATTGTAATACATTTACTGTATTTAATTTTTAATTGCTTATACTTAATGTATTGTAAAAATATTTTCTGTCATTTTTATAGACATGATATAGTGTATCAGTTATATATCCTTTTTCTTATTAATTTATACACAAATAGCCATAAAGATATACTTTTGAATGCAGCAATGTAATCTGAAAAACTGATGGTTGTGCTTTTATATAAATTTATATCTAACTTACTTCCTGCCTACTGGAAGACTATATATAGATTTTACTGATCATTGTGATAACAATTTATGAAAATTCATTTGCTGTTCTTGATTGTCTGAGAAATGTAAATAAGACATGTGAGACATTATCTCTTATTAGATTAAAATTAATCTGTTCTGATTACTTCACATATAAAGGAATAAATGACTTGCATGACCCCATGATCAGTGTAACCATAAGGTCAATGTGGATAAATATTACCTGATGGCAGTATTTGTAATGGTCTCACTGTATTTAGATTTATGTACAGAATTCGTCAAGTATTAAAATAATCCTAATCACCATTAATCTAATACAGACTGTTAATAAAACTTTCATATAAGTAACATGTGTGTATTGATGCACAATTCAGTTGAATTTCTATTTCTGAAAGTAAAAAATGTCTCTGTTTGTGACAAAAATGGCAAATTCTCCTTTTTATGCCCCACCTAGGGGCATTGTGTTTTTCGGTCTGATCGTCCGTTCGTCCGTCCGTCCGTCCGTCTGTCCCACTTCAGGTTAAAGTTTTTGGTCAAGGTAGTTTTTGATGAAGTTGAAGTCCAATCAACTTGAAACTTAGTACACATGTTCCCTATGATATATTCTTTTTAATTTTAATGCCAAATTAGAGTTTTGACACCAATTTCACGGTCCACTGAACATCGAAAATGATAGTGCGAGTGGGGCAACCGTGTACTATGGACACATTCTTGTTATAAATTTAAAATGATGAAAATAATTGTACCATACCTTGTGTAATAACTAAATCTTATGGTAGCTATATTCAGTACTATTGATACACGGAGAACGAAAACTTAACAATGACAGAAGCAAAAATTCTGCATTAGATTGATATATTACCATACATAAGATGTATTGACACTACTACTTAAAATTTGTTTTAACAACACTGTTTTAAAGTAGATCTATCCTTGCTGTTCACAATTCTGAAAATAGTGGAGTATTTTTGATGTATTAAGTTTATTATTCTATGATCTAATTGTGTTGATTTTATTTGTCCATTCCTGTCCAAAATAAAATACATGGATAGTTTTAGTGTTTGTTTTCTTTTTCATTATTTGCTACATTTATAATTCTATTACATCTATGTTGAGCTTTCTGCTTCTCTGGAAAGCTGGATAGTTTGTCAAGTTATTGATAACTTATGTATATGTACATCGTGATGATCCTATTATTTATCAAGTCAGTCTGAATATATCACCATCGCAAAGACATATTTAAACCTTACAAAGTTTGGACAAGTAGACCTTGAATGTTCTTTTTTTAAAAACAAATCTAAATTATAAACAGTTACTCAGTAAGTACATGTTTGTTGTCAGATTTTGGATTGACTGGGGAAACACAAGAATGCATATAAACTCCAGGAAAAACAGCTCCATATTGATATGTATCTACTTCTTTAGATTGTCAGGATCTTTATGATCTATATTAGTAGATATTGATAGATTGATAGGTAAAATTGAGAATGGAAATGGGGAATGTGTCAAAGAGACAACAACCCGACCACAGAACAGACAACAGCAGAAGTGCCTAATTTCCAGGACAAATATATGTGAACTAAATAAGCTGCAGGTATTTTTCTTTGAGACAGCAACCTAATATAATAAAAAGACATATGTAGAGGGCAACATACAGTCTTCAACAATAGACTGGTGTCTATACAATATGTCAAGCTCTTAACAGTCTATAGAGTGATGGAAAGTTGTGAATACTGTAAATTCTGAAATTATTGCGAGGTTTTTATTAATGTGAATAATGCGACTTGGTGATTATCGCAATAATTAGAACTCGCATTCTTATATCTTATACATATATCTGTCTGCAGATTTTCTTTAAATCGCAATAATAAATCTCGCATTTTTGTCTGTTCTTCGAAAATTGCAAAAAATAAATGCATGCAATAATTTCTGAATTTACAGTAAAAAAAACGGGGACTTTTAAGGTTCTGCCATAAGTATATTCAGGACAAAAATAGCAATGTTAATATATTAATATGCTGATTTTCAACGTGCTAGCTCATTATGTGCACCCTATCCATTATTCTATCTTTTAGCCGCTAGTGTTTGTTCTTACTCCTAACTAATACATGCTTAGTGGAGAAGCAAAGTGGGCTTTAAATAGGATAATGGTCAACTTCCAACCTCGTGCACTCCAGGTGAGTACCAGTAGGCTACTTCAAGAACAAATGTATTTCAACAGATTAACCATAAACATTTAAAAATATCTATATTCAAAATATTCCAGCTTCTCTACATTCTGACATGAAACCATGATGTTGAACAAGAGCGAAAGTAAACTGAAGCCCAGATGAATGAATCAAGGGGAAAAATATACAGGTCATTATCAATAAGGAAACCTCATATCCTGGCTCACAGGACTGCCTATCAAAGCAGAGATATGGTCAGGATCTCATTTTCCACAATGAAAAATGGTAATTTAAATAAAACAAGCAAACAACACAAAATAACCAAAATAAAACTAAAGATCATCATAGCAGTAATTAAAGATGGACAAGCCTAGAGTCTTAACAAGTTTTGAATATTAAGATACTCAAGATGACCTGACAATTGGATGTAGTCCAAATGATTATGACCACTTTGAATGCTCTTTATTGATTATTGCTTTGACAGCTTTCTCATATGAACCAGCGACACAATGTCACTTACGAGGGTCTGGATGGGGAGTTCTTCATTTCTGTATTCTTGAAATTTTTATGTCATTTTTCTTTATTCTTTATATTTTTTGCCCATAGAAATTTCGGGCATCCGTCCGTCCGTCCATCTGTCAGTCTGTCCGGTCTTATTAGCGTTCTCACATGTACAATTCTAGCCAGATTTTTATGAAACTTATATCATAGGTTTATATTAGCAATGTCTTAGACGAGTTTGAAAATCAGTGCCAATCAATTATTTTTAAAAGAGTTATTCCCCTTGGAAACAATAATTATATGGAAAATTGCATTGTTAGAGCACTCCCGTGTACAATTCTTGTCAGAATTTTATGAAAATTATATCATAGGTTTATATCAGCAATGTCTTTGACACTTTTGAAAATAAGTTCTGATCAAATATTTTTTAAAGAGTTATGCCCCTTTGAAATATTAATTATAACGGAAATTACATTGCATTTGCTCTCAAGCCTTTATTTCTAATTTATTAATAAAAAGTTTTAAAGAACAAACAAAAAAGCACTTATTTTAGTTATTGCTCTTGTACCTTGGATAGATAAAAATGTGCAACACGGGGCACATTGGAACTCTGTTCTTTTATTCTCTATTCTTTATATTTGAACACCCCATTTTTCTATTACGTTTTCTTTTGTCCTATTTTCTTTTTTCTTTATTTTTTTGTCCTGTTTTCTTTTTCTTCATTTGTTGGTCTTATTTTTCTCTAACCTGCTTTTTTATCCATTTTTCTAAAGATTTAGCCCATTATTCTCTTTTCTGTAAACCCCATCCAGACCCTCACTTACAATTTTCGAAAATATTTACTTGTCTTTTCCGGATTTGACTCAAAATTTTAAAAAATGTTATGTCCGGTTTTGAAACTAATAAAAAAGAAAGATTTGTGACGTTAAATTTGAAGAAATTTCAGACAAATGAAAGTAACTGTTAATGATTTGTGCGATTAAGGTACGTGCTTGAATAACATATTCCAAGATCTAGGCACTTATTGCAATAAGAGCCCGAAGAGGAAGAGAAATAAAAGGACGAAAAATACGTACAGGTGCTTCTTCTTCGTGTGATTTATTAAGTTCTTTGCCTATTTGGATAAGTACAAATAAATATTTACAAATTTTGCCAAAAATAAATAGTAAACATGAACATGTGGTTTAACCTATTTAAATACTAGATTAGAATTAGATTAGAATTAACTGATCTATTTCAAGTATTTTGTAGCGAATGTGTCATTGCTGCTGGAGGAAGCAAAACAACTTGTTCCACTGCAAAATCCCCCCTCCCCCACACACACACACCAAATCGCCCCACTTTTCCATCAACTCGACATACACCAACTCGCCCCACATCAAATCACCCCACTTTTTCCACCAACTCGCCACACTCTTGTTTACCAACTCGCCCCACTTACAAAATGTATGAAAAAGGGTAAAATCCCGACGAATAAAGGTCTGCCAACTCGGCCCACTTATGAAAAAGGGTTAATCCCGATGAATAAAGGTCTTCCAACTCACCACACTTATGAAAAAGAGTAAAATCTTGGATGAATTTAGTCCTGCCAACTCGTGGAATGTTATTGGTATGCATACTTATGTACATGTGCTAACCTATCATCTGAGAATAAGATTATGTAAACACCAATTATTCTTGACTTATCTTGTAAAACAGTGTTTTATATTTACCAGAAAACAAACGTCATGAACTCCTTTTCATTGTAAGTGGGGCGAGTTGGTTATCCTTAATGCAGTAAGATTTTATTCTTTTTATCATTAGTGGGGCCAGTTACCAGACTTTTATTCTCCAAGATTTTACTCTTTTTCATACTGAGTGGGGCAAATTGGTAGGACTAAATTCATCAGGATTTTTACTATTTTTCTTAAGTGGTGCGAGTTGGCAGACCTTTATTCATCAGGATTTTACTCTTTTTCAGAAGTGGGGTGAGTTGGCAGGACTAATTTCAACAGGTTTTTACCGTTTTTCATAAGTGGGGTGAGTTGGCAGGACTCAATTCAACGGGATTTTAGCATTTTTCATAAGTGGGGCGAGTTGTCATGGATTCCTGCAGGATAAATATAAAAATTATTAATATGAAGATCTCTCATCATCTAGTCACAAGTCCATCAGACGCCTTCATTGATCAACCTTATACCTGCATATCCTAGAACCAGAAAATTTCACTAACTTAAATTTAGACATGTATATATACATCTAAAGTTACATACAGGCACTCATTCTTTCCGTTTACAATACTGCAATGGAACTTGTTACCCATTTCAATTGTTAAGTTTCCGTCAGGAGACTGGTACCACGATTTCCTGAGAAATCCCAAAAACTGAATATTGATCAGAGAACTGATAGATATTACCCAAAAACTTTATATGGTGTTGCACTGCTTTTACAGATATTAAAGTATATAATTTTGAGATATAACTCATTTTTATACGACCGCAAACAAATTTTTGTGGTCGTATATTGGTATGACATTGGCGTCGTCGTCCTGCGTCGGCTTCATCGTCGTCCGAAGACACATTAGTTTTCGCACTCTAACTTTAGTTTAAGTGAATGGATCTCAATGAAATTTTACCATAAGGTTCAATACCACAATAGGAAGGTGGGGATTGATTTTGGGGGTTATGGTACCAACAGTTAAGGAATTAGGGGCCAAAAATAAGCATTTTTGTAACTTCCAGACATAACTTGTGTGTAAGTGTATGGATCTCTCTGACATTGTACCACAAGGTTCCATATCACAAAGGGAATGCTGGGATTGATTTTGGGGGTAATTGCCTCCAAATTTTAGGAATTAGGGGCCAAAAAGGGGCAAAAAACAAGCATTTTTCTAGTTTCATGACAATAACTTGTGTGTTAGTCTATGGATCTCTCTGACATTGTATCACAAGGTTCCATATCACAAAGGGAATGCTGGGATTGATTTTGGGGGTAATTGCCTCCAAATTTTTAGGAATAAGGGGCCAAAAATAAGCATTTTTCTAGTTTCCAGACAATAACTTGTGTTCAAGTGTATGGATCTCTCTGAAATTGTACTGCAAGGTACCATACCACAAAGGGAAGGCTGGGATTTATTTTGGGGGTAATTCCCTCAAAATTTTAGTAATTAGGGGCCATAAAAGGGCAAAAAAACAAGCATTTTTCTAGTTCCAGGACAATAACTTGTGTATAAGTGTATGGATCTTTATGAAATTGTACTGCAAGGTTCCATATCACAAAGGGAAGGCTGGGTTTGAGTTTGGGGGTAATTGCCCTAAATGTTTAGGAATTTGGGGCCAAAAAGGGGCCAAAAAACAAGCATTTTTTTAGTTTCCAGACAATAACTTGTGTTCAAGTGTATGGATCTCTCTGAAATTGTACTGCAAGGTACCATACCACAAAGGGAAGGCTGGGATTGATTTTGGGGGTGATGAATCATAAGGGGGTTCAAAAAATTTGGGGGGGGATTTTTTTTTCCTTTTTTTTCTTTAAAATTTTCCATTTTAAATTGGTTATTTCTGATTTATATATAAAAGCAAATAATAATGATATGGTTTGAAAAGGTAAATTCAAAATTTTTAAGTTCTTAGACCACTTTCATTCTGTGTCAAATATTTAATTACAATCCAAATTCAGTGCTGAATCAAGCTTGAATGTTGTGTCCATACTTGCCCCAACTGTTCAGGGTGTGACCTCTGCGGTCATATCAAGCTGCGCCCCAGCGGAGCATTTTATTACTCAATAAATGTACAATTTCACTTCATATACCTTTATATCTATAAAAGCACTTTTACATCTATAAAAGCAGTATAACACTATAAAATATAGTTTTCGGGTAACATCTATTGGTTCTCTGGTCAATTTTCAGTTTTTGGGTGTTTCTCTGGAAATCGTACGCGTGGTCCCCTCAGAAGACGTCACAGCTTTAGAGAACAACTCACTTCTGCTGTTTTCTTTACTCTCATTTAAATATTAAACCTTTTGTACATAATTTTAAACCACTTAATTCATTAATCTGCACTCACTCTATCAAACAATTTGTACAATACAGCTCTGAATTTCCTTATTTTACTTTGTTGATTAATTTTTGTAAATTATCCATTCATGCAACAGTATTTAATCATCAGTCTGCTTGATGGTATATTGTATACAGTACTTAAAGAAGAAGAAAAAGATGTGGTATGATTGCCAATGAGACAACTCTCCACCAGCTAAAGACCAAATGATATAGAAGTTAACAACTATAGGTCACCTTACACCCTTTAACAATGAGCAAAACAAAATTTTGGTGTTGAAAAAGTTATTTTCAATTCCTCTTTCTGGAAGTTGTTTAGTCAAACTTCAATATCATAAAATATTCTACACCTTCCTTTTAAGATTTCTTCATTGTTATTTCCAATCATGTCAAAAATATTTAATTAAAAAAAAAGAAGATATTATAAATAAGTGCCCCTTCTAAAAATTTAAATTTCAAAAGAATTTAAATCAATATTGAGAAATTCTCCATCTTTGGGCAATTGAATACAATTTAAAAATAAACAATTATCTATCTGAATTTAATATGATTTGATATGCATACACCTCTTCTTTGATTGTAAGAAGTACCTTAGAAGAAGTACACTTTTTTGTGGGAATTTCTTGAGCTGAAAGGGGTGATTCTAAAAAGGAAAAATAACTGGTAATTTTTAAGTGAAATAATGAACATTATGAAAATGATGATGTTCTACATTTCAATCCTTGTGTTGTCTGTTTTATTAAAACTTTTTATTTAAGATTGTCCCTTGATTACTTAAAAGTGTTTAAACAAAAGTTAACATTTTGGGCCAAAATCACTTATTCAAAGTTGTGATGGTTGTCTATAAATATCTTACAGAAGCTTGTACACATGTATATAGAAAAATGTCAGGCTACCTGTAGCTAAAAAAATTCAAGTTTGGTCTATAATTTTGAAAACCGCTATGAATGGAGAAAATCTGTCTAAAAAAAAATGTTCAGAATGATGAGATCTATTTATTGTAAATTTTTTTCAAAACTGTCAGACGACTTCTTACAGGAGTTATTGCCCTTAAATGACAAATTTTACCGATTTTTTCATGTTTGCCTTATATCTGAAAAAGAATCATAGATAGGGAGAAACTTTATATAACAAAAATGATCAACAAGACAAGATCTATATTTGTGAACAACAAAAATAGCGGTCATTAATTGTGGTCTTGGGCCACATGGTTGAAATCTCCAGATGACTCCTTATTGGAGTCATTGCCCTTTAATGACGATTTTTATAATTTTTTTGTGTTTTTGCTGAATATCTGAAAAACTATTATAGATAGATAGAAACTTGAATAAGCAAAAGTGATCAGCAAGACAAGATCTACAAATAAGTTTAAATCTTGAAATGGTCTGATAACCCCTTATTGGAGTTATATAAAGTGTCTATCTGTCTTTTATAGTTTTCAAGATAGTAGGCAAAAACGTAAGATATTGGTAAAAATCGTCTTTAAAGAGCAAGTATCCTACAAGGATTCGACTGATGATTTCTGCTATTTGACTTATTTGTAGATGAAGTCTTGCTGATCTTTTTTGCTTACAAAAGTTTCCATCTATCTATTATAGTTTTTCAGATATGAGCCATTATAAGGCAAAAACGCAAAAAAATGGTAAAAATCATCAAAGGACAATAACCCCGTTTAATAAAGTTTTCAAGTCAAACTGCAAATTCAAATATCTTGGATGTGTGATAAGATTGAATCAAATATATTGGGAAAATGATGTAGCCTTTTCCCTAATTCCTCTGCCCATGTCGTGAGTATTGATGTGTATGAAGGCTTGTTTCGAAGCTGAGACAAATTCACATATGTGGTTAAATTTTCAGGGTACAAAGTGAGATTCATTTTTCATAATTTAGCACACCCCTAAAAACTTTTTGAGATGCGGCTTCTTGAGGTAAAAAATCACTTTTTCCACAAGAAGTTATTTGAAAATTTGGTTCTTTGCATACATTTAATAACTCCAGGACCATAGTTTTTACACCTTTATTCTATGGTCCTCTGCTTTCAAAATCAGCACAAATTGTTAAGCTCAGTCACTTGTTAATAATTAAAACATGTCCAATATCACTGCTTAGAGATTTTTGTTTAGGCCCTACTTTTGAGTACCTCAGTTTCAGGTGCATTAGAGATATTGACCCATTTGCCATGTTTGAGTAGCATTGGCTGTTCAGCATTAATTTTGTAAATCAAAATAGATGATAAAATGTTATTGAACAGGTATAATTGCACTTTTAATTTGGGATGCATATTTTACATTTAGTATGCATATTCTGAAGTTCTGGAATTCTGCTGTTAATTTCTTTGAGTATTTGTTAAATAAAAAATAAAACCTAATATTGTATACAAAGTACACATGGTCTTTGACAGTTGTAACATAGTGTTAAGATATTTATTGTGATATAGGTTGTGGTTATTGTAGTACATGTATATATGCATGACTGACCCAACAATGTCTCAGTTCATATATTTTCTTTATCATTTATCTATTTTATGTTCATTTGGTATTCATAGTAAAATACAAGGTATGTTCTTTAACAATAAGAGGTCAAAACACCAGTTGTCTTACAGTGTACTCACTATTGACAGTTTGGTTTTAATCTCATTTAACTAATTGTAAAATCTTGAAACTGGAATCTGCTATTTTATCTGAGATGAAAAATAGAAATTAAAAAAAAATAATATGGACATGTGTTATTTGTATTCAAATTTAATTTCAAATAATTTGGATACATACGTTATTGACTGTAAGATTAAACGGAGATGTTTGGTATACCTCAATGAGAGGGTAACCCAATAGACATCTTAAGGTTGGCATACAATGTATAGTTAACAGATAATCAGCAGTTATAGACAATAAGTTTATACCATATGTCAAACTCTACATTGGCCGTACCATTTTTATCAGGAATCAGTAAAGTAGTAAAAGGTACATAGAAGAATAAACAATAAAAAATGAGTTAAAAAAAATACTTTACTCATTGATAAAAGCATTGCAGACATAACAAATACAGGCAAAGTAAAGCAATACTGAATAATAACTTCTCACAGTTACTGAAAGCAAGCTCAAAGTACTTGGTTATAAATATAGAATTATACCTTCTAACAATACATTGCTTATTATGCACTTATTAATTTTGATGTTATTTTTTTGTATTTTTTAACCTTAGATGACATTTCATCATAGGTAATTTTTTTCTTTATTTAAATTAATTACTGCTGTAAAAGAGTATCTTCGTCTCATGGGTTTTCGTGCTATTAAGAATGCATTGTGACGTCACAATTTCCATTGAAAAAGCATGTATAGTACGAATTCATATCGTGTACGAAATATATGATCTGACCATAAATATTAAAAAAAAATCATGTTGAAAAAATATCCAATTTTGTTTTTTTTATTGATATTTAATTTTGAAAGTTTTAAGGAAATAGACATTTATAATTTTGATTTGAGTCAAGAGAAGTTGATTGACCATCCCTTTTAGAAAAGTAATATTGCTTTGTGTTCTGGGAGTTTAAGCAGATACAGGAGATTTAAGCAGATACGTACTGATAACCAACTAATTTCTGTAAGCTATTTATTTATTTATGCAAATATGGATCTTCCCTAATTTGAATTTATGAACAAAGTAAAATAATCAACAAACAAATGGCCTGAAAGCAGACTAAAAAGGGCTGATTGTAAAAAAAAACGTATCTATGGAAAGAATTGCTTTACAGCATACTGAATGGTTTTAAAATATATTGATCAATATTTGTTAAATTTCTAATGGCAAGTTGGTGTATGAGTATTTTTTCGTTTCATGGTTTTTACAGCTATCTGTCATATGCATGAGTGCTGGGAAAGTTAAACTTGCTTTGAGATAGGCTTAATAAGCTTTTGACTTTCCAGTGACTTTCTGTGTGTTGAGCACCCTTTTGTTGTAATTGTGAAGATTTGTTTCTGCAGTTAATTATTTGGTGTCTTATTAGCATTTATTATATACTTCATTGTACTTAGAAGTAAATACATGTAAATTGTATGTGTATTATGATCAATGGCAATCGTGCTGTATCAGCCATCCGTGATGATATCGATATCAGTCACGGTTGCAAAGGCTTTATCACACCCTTAATCTGAATGACATCACGTCATCGACATCAGTCACCTTTGCGAAGGCTTTATCAAACCCCTAATTTGTATGATGTCACGTCACATGAACATGATGAAAAAAAACCATCTACTTGAGATATATGATAAATTGTATATGATATGGCTTTTTCAATATCACACACCATATCAACCCTCAACCAATATAATCCCTCGAGCAGAGCTCTTGGGATTATATTGGTTTCTCGGGTTGAAATGGATGTGATATTGAAAAAGCCATATAATATTCTCTATTTATTCCATATCCCATCTCTTCAATTTATAACAAACATTTCTGAAAACTCATTTCTAACTAATGTATAGATTGATAGTATTAGTTAAATAAGAGTTAAGTTTAATTTGCCAGTTCTTCTCTTTTAATAGCTTTTGAATTGAATCCTTTATGGAATAGAAAATCAATTTGATTTACCATTAGTAGTTATATAAAATCAATTCAGCATGGTAACTACTGATATAACCTCAATACTTTGGCTTGTATTTCAAGTGCATTGTTTTTGCATGTAATTACATTGTGTAGCAGATGTATGTAAACTTGTTCCAAAAAGTCAAATAGTCGGAGTAGGAAGAGTGTACTTTGAACATTAAGGAGAAAATGAGTAAATTTTGAATGAGACTAGTGGTTGTTAAAACAAATGTATACTGTTCTAAATTCCTCTTGGAAGTGGAAAGGTTGATAAACTGTATATATATTAAACTTGATATTTAATTCTACGATTTTGGACATATAGCTGTGTGACAGTAAGTTAGTACATGTCTACCCTTTTAAACTTTCTGTACTGATGTAACAAAATTAACATGGAAAGGTTTTCAAAATTATCATTTAATCAAATTATTATCTCATAGATTAAAATTTAACTTGATTTATAGATAACTGTATGGATAATTGGATACCCAACACAAATGCGAAGCCATTCATACCAAAACGATTGAGGAATTCTGCCAAATCTTCCAGTTCTGGAATTACAGAATTTTCTAAGAGGAAATGTATATCCAAAATATTTCAGGTAAATTGTATTATTGCTATAAATGTAAATGGGTAATGAAGTAAACACTCATCGAATACAACAATTTGAATTTAAAATTCTTTTTAAAAAAGAGGATTTGTACTACCATGAGCACAGATGCTATAATATAAATTTATAATAACCATACATATTATGTCAAACAAACAATTGAGAAAACTATTAACTAAAATTAACAGTAGTATTGAGGTGGAAGAACAGACTTGTTGAATAGTGTACTATTGTGTAACATAGATATAAAACAACTACTGGAAGAATTCCAGGTTCTCTTGATAGAAGAGGGATTTACAGAAGGTAACAGGTAACTACAACCGGAAACTAAATGTGACATATACTATTGGTATTGGTATTGGTATCAGATTCGACCCGGAACTTGTTAATTATTGGTAATATTAGTTATGTGGAAAACAAAAGGGTCTGGGATGGTGTAATCTTAAAACAAAACCACTGTCCTTTATTAGTTATATATAAAGTTGAATTCTTTGATTCGTCGTTTTTACATCATGCCTAACAAATTGAACCACTTTAATTTAGAAGTATATATAGATAAAAAAAAACACTATAATTTGCGTTTGAATTTTTTCAACATTAAAACAATTTTTCTTCAGGGTGGTATTGTGGTTGTGTTGATTGTTACCATAGTAATCAATATAACATTCATTTTGGAAACCAGCAGAAAGATGAACGATCCTCAGAAAATGGGTAAGTGGTTACCAATATCTTCATTATCTCCCCTTAATAATTTGTAACTATACTGAGTAATTAAGTTAAGCAACATATATTTTAATTTAAAAAAAAACTTTGAATTAAATTTTTTCATGTATGTTTGTATACAAAAATGTGGGTATACATTTTATGATCATGTTTTTGTCAAGTAAAATTGAACCTTATGGTTTATTTTCTATGTTACATTAATATAGTTATTGTTATTTTTAGTTTGAAATATAAAATTCAAACATTTGTTGCTAAATCCTTTTTACTTAGCATAGTATCAAATCTAACATATTATACCACATGTACCAGATCATACCTAAATTTTATTTTCAGATAATCAGGATAATATTACTGTATAGTAAAATATCAAATATCAATATATTAATGAGGAAGGTAGACATATTTGTTACTCCACCCAGTTTGACATTGTTATAGAGGTCATTGTTATGTTCAACAGCTGTAGCCAGAGTCCCTTTAATGTTTACACTATATGTTATATAAACAATTGTTTACGTGGATAGGTAAACACATATATTCTCCTATCTTATTTATCTGCTCTGAGGGATAATTGAAACATTTTGTTTGTACTATTAGTGTACACCATGTATATAGAAGGGAAAGCTGACTTATATAATGCTGGTTTGGATTATTGTTATGACATGGAGTTTAGGTTATACAGTGGAGATATACTGTTCAGACTTACACAGTTGTGGTATACATGTATCATGTATGTTTATATAAATAGGAGGTTAAACTAAGTCAAAAGGATTGATTTGTTGTAATAGGCTAAACATACATGTAGGATGATATTCAAGTTTGGTAAAACAGGTATTACTTTTAATACACTGAATGTACTGATGGGTCTTTTAATTAAAAGAGTTCACAGTTTCCTGATTTTTACTGAAATTCCATTTTCTATTTGTCCAAATAATTTGTTAAGTGCAGCCAATTGATTTGTACAGAACACTAATCAAACTATCACCCAGGAATCATCAGAGTTATTAGGGTCCAACACTTTATGTATTACATTATTTGCAATAAAAAACAAATCTGTATTTCAAATATGAGATAAATCCTTTGATATCTTGTAGAAAAAGATATAGTTTCTGGCATTATCTGTTTTGTTTTCATTAAAAGTGAATGTAAAAGAAAATTATAAACATTAAAAGGGAATGTGAAAGAAAGTCTTAACTAATCAAAGAATTCAAATATCGAAAAATATTCATCTGGTTATTGTATAACTCTAATTATTAACTCATGTGCTTACTTGTTGAGTGTTCAAAATCTTTGATTAGTTATTTGATACTTATTGTTTTGCAATCTTGAAGCTTTATAAGCAGTCACTTCTCTATAGTATGTACAGTATAAGTACTTAAGGATGTTCGCTACTCTGATTCAAAATAACAAGCTTTTTAAAAGACTGTTATAAATTGATAGTATGTTAATAAAGAAACTAAATAAGCAGATAAAATTGAAGGGTCCGTGTGCTTGTTTTGGAGATATAAGCCATTGAAAATTTGGCGGGAAATAGTTCTCTCTAGATTTTTCATACATTTAACATTGACACCATTTTTCTTTTAAAAATGATGAAAAAATAACAAGGATTTTATAATATTTTCAAAGATGACATTTTAAACTATATGTAATCAAATTATGGAAAGAAAAGTAGGGGTTAGTGGGCAAAAATTTTAATGGCACTACATGGATAAAACCAGAGGATTCCAAATACCTGGCAAAAATTCAAAAACAAGAGGAGCGAACATCCTTAAACCTGAAAAATATATCAAGGAATTTTAAGTTGATATAAAAATAAGGAGATGTGGTATGATTGCCAATGAGACAACTATGCAACCAAGTTCAAATGAATTTAAGCAATTATAGGCAACCAGATTGGCCTTCAACAATGAGGAAAACCCATACCATATAGTCGGCTATAAAAGGCCCAGACATGAAAAATATGAAACAATTCAATAGAGAAAACTAACGGCCTAATTTATAACAAAACAATTTACGAAAAACAAATATGACAGACATGAACCAAGGATAACCACTGAACTACAGGCTCCTGACTTGGGACAGGCACATAAAGAATGTGGCAAGGTTAAACATGTTTGTGAAATCTCAACCCGCCCCCTAACTTGGGACAGTGGTGTTACAGCACAACATAAGAACTAAAATATAAAAATCTGTTGAAAATAGCTTAACTTATCAGTTCGATACACAGCAGAAAAACATCTAACAAGAACACAGACTGGACGTGGCTGGTTATTTATACATCCCTAATAACAAATGACACAAAGTACAGATCTGAGAGTACTCACAGTTACTGACAGCAAGTTCTAAGCCATTAACAACTAATAAAAGAAATCATGTATCTAAGACTAATATATCAATCAGCACACATCCAAAATCCATTGGATTTAGTGTAAAGATTTCATTAACAATAAGAGAAGACATGACCTTGTGCAATGCCAAAATATAGGTATCGAAGATTATAGTACCGTGAAAGTGAATATGTGTATAAAAATACTATTTAGTATGGTTTTATTTTACTGATAGCAAAATCAATATTTATACCAATAAAAACAATATTCAGGTATTGCAGGTACAGCCAAACTTGCTCACCAAATCTTTGTATCTATGGAAGAATTTAGTAAAGGTTTAATTAATTTGTGGTAATGAAATCCCTGTCTTAATAATTTACCAGTAATACATAGATTACGTTCATTGAAATCCAAAACGTCACTACAGACACGGGCATAGTGAACGAGTTGGGATATTTAAACACAGTAAGACAGTGCCAAAGGAATATCACTGTCCAAAATAGGAGAAAAATCATCCCTTTTGACCTAAAGTTTTGTGTAGAGTTTCTGTTGTAAAACTGAAATGTCTAAATCTAAGAAAGGACACTTATTGCTGTTAATATTTGATTTACTTAAGGTTAGTTCCTTTGGTTAAATTTCGGCAGTATATTTAGAGAATTCTTGATTATTTAACGAAAAAATATCATCAAGATAACAGTAAGTGTTGTTGAATTTACCTATTAAATGAAATTTAGACGGGTCTTTACTGATTTAGGCCATAAACTGTGATTCACAACAGTACAGGAACAAGTCTGCTAATAAAGGGGCTCAATTTGTGCCCATAGGAATACCTACAATCTGTCGATAAACTTTATTGCCGAAACGTACATAAATGTTACTAGGAGAAAATTTATGGCTCATCACTGCTTAAAAGTAGAATTGACGTATGCCTATTAAAGAGTAAATGTATAAAAAAAATATTACTCAAGTAAGTGAAATTTGTGATCTGTCTTCTATCTTCCAGATGAAGTGAACAGTGGGTTCAAAAGAAAGGAAGGAAAGGGAAATGAAGTTGAAATGACAAAATCTAAATTCTTGTCTCTAGAAGTACAGTCCAGTAAAACATCAGTTGTAGTCAAAGTTGATGAAACTGTGGTAAGTCTGATTAAGTAATTAGTATACTAGTATCTATGGTAACAATTATTTTGATCAGTTGTCTACTTATTGTGGAACTTTCTGTTGTCAGCTTTAAAACACTTTAACCCTTAGATTTCTAATTTAAAAAAAGAATTGTATGAGGTTTATGAAATGGATTTTGAAAACCAGTGATGATTGAAATTTTTTTAGAATTATGCCCCATTGAAATCTATGGTGTACAGATCTTTACAAATTTGGATAAATTTTACATGAAAGGTTAAACTCAATAATATATCAATCAAATTCATAATTGAGTGCCAGTGGAAACTGTATTAGAGAGTAATGGCTCTGGGAAATGTATATTATGTAAAAAATTTCCTTGCAAGTGGTATGAGCTATTCTGTTCTTGAGAGATTTTGTCAAATATGAGAATGAAATATTATACTGTAAATTCAGAAATTATCGGATAGATATAGGAAGATGTGGTATGAGTGCCAATGAGACAACTCTCCATCCAAGTTACATGTTTTTATTATTGCCAAAAATTCACAATAATTTAAACTCGCATTTTGAAATTTTTTATATGAATTAAATAGGATTTTTCTCAATATCGCAAAAATTAAAATCGCATTTTAGTCTAAAATGACAAAATCGCAATAATAAATGCATGCAGTCATTACTGAATTTACAGTAGGCATTATGAATTAAATGATAGACATTAGACATTATTTTTTTATTTACCTACCATAGGTCCTTGTTAGGTAAGATATAGAAATGTCAGAATACAATAATTATATTAGGTTTATATCAACAATATCTTGATTGAGTAAGAAAAGCCAATTCTGATTAAAAAATTGTATGTGCATTACAGCCCTATGAATTGTAAAAATTTGCCGGAAAACGTATGGGAGTTTAGGCAGTTAGAAATGTAAATTGTGTGAAAAAAAACCAACATTTACCCGTAAGTGTTCTTACAATTACAATATGAAGATAATAAAAACTAACAAAATTTGAGCATATGTACTTTCATTTTATGACTTGTTGATCGTGGATTTTAGCTTCATTCATATGACATATAAGCTTGATAGCAAAAATGCTTCTTCTTGTCTTAATCAAATAAAATAGTATGCTATGTATGTGTCCATTAACTACACCATGGGGCAGGAGACATTGGAACACTCTTCTTTTAAATGTCTTATAATCTTAGATATTGTTTTCATTTACAGATTATACAAGATGAAGAATTTGAGAAAAATAGAGGCATCCATATTGCTGTGTTGAATCAGGCAACTGTAAGTTACAAGCTTGTACAAAGTTACTGTACAAATATTTTCTATAAATTTTACTGGAAATCTAGCAATAAAATATGCTTTCATCCCATTCCTAAAATACGACCTTTGAAAATTTTTCAAGGATTCAAAGTAAAAAGACTGTACAGTACAACATCACTATTGACATATTTCTAGAAAGTTCATAGGTTTATTGGAGTTAAAAGCAGAAATAGTAAGGGAACTCCAGACCCATTTTAACCAGTCACTGTGTTTTGCCTTCTCCATGATGTGTTTGGTCCTCAGAACCTGGCACCTTGTCAATGATATGGTATATATAAAGTATAAAAAGATGACACGAGTCTGGATTTGATTCCCTGAAACATGACACTATTAACATTATAGTAAATCAATTGCTGGATTTGAGATTATGACCTTTTGCCTTATGCAACTGTAAGTAAAGGGAGACATCTGTATGAAGCAAAATCCTTATGTTTTGCATCTTTCATAGTAATTGCATGAGGTGTTTTGCTATAGTATACTATATATGGCATGGGTTTTTGTCATTGTAGTTATTCCCCTTCAATGATATTTTACCATTTTTTTGCATTTTTTCCTTTTATTTTGAAAACTTTAATAAATAGATACTTTAAAAAGCAAACATGATCTGCAATACAGGATATACTGTGATTCTAAGGAGTTATTTCTAAGAATATATTTGATTTAATATTTATATGTGCAAATGTTTGCACCTGTTCTAAGTCAGGAATCTGATTACAGTAGTAGTCATCTGTTTATGTAGTTCATACATGTTTCTCGTCTCTCGTTTTTATATAGATTAAACCGTTGGTTTTTCCGTTTGAATGGTTTTACACTAGTAATTTTTTGGGGCCCTTTATAGCTTGCTGTTCGGTGTGAGCCAAGGCTCCGTGTTGATGGCCGTACCTTGACCTATAATGGTTTACTTTTATAAATTGTAACTTGGATGGAGAGTTGTCTCATTGGCACTCATACTTCCTATATCTATTGTGATTTCAGGGAAGTGTTATGTCTAAGAATATATTAGATATTTATATGTGCATTGTGATTTCAGGGAAGTGTTATGTCTAAGAATATATTTGATACCTATAGCCAGCATGAAGATGAAGCATTATTATCCTATCTGAAGAAGATTTCCAATGGTAGAATTATTGTATTTACTATAAAGGTATTTTCAAGTTTAGAAAATTAAAATATGCAACTACTTGCCAACTTTCATTTTATGCACTTAAATTTTCATTGCAGAAGCAGAATACAAACTAATTTTCACTGTAGTGTACTAACTAAATCATTGATCAACTCAACATAGACTTACCTTTTTTTTTTGTTCATATTTTGTATGTACAATCATTCACATATTAAGAAATTTCAGATTTTTGATCCTCAGTCACTTAAATATTTTTAAAGTCAATTTATAACAACAGTAGGAAATATTAGTTGCAAGTTAAATTCCACATGTTTGTAGATTCCGAATTTATTTCATAAAGTTGAAAGGTGTCACATACTTTTGAAAATGTCAAAATGTTAAGAATATGGTAAATCCTTCAAAATTCTGGATAGATTTTAAAACTATTTACCAACTTTGTGCACATTATTTCTTTTTACAAGGATGAAGCTTCATTTCATCTGAAGTTAGAAGCCAGACAGTACTTAAAAGAAATGGGAAGTGAGAAGATAGAAAACCTGGCATTCAGGGATACTTGGGCTTTCATTGTAAAGAAAGGAGGTAATATTACCTACCAGGTATTATTTACAAAGGACACAATTATATGGGTCAATATGTGCAGTTCATTTCTGGTAGGCGATAATAGTTGCCTTTTCTTTCATTCCTCTGTCTGATGAAAGATCCTTACTAGATCGTAGTAATGGATCAAGTAAGGCTAAAAGAATTGAAATTGTTCAGAAAACAATTTTTTCTACAGTCTAGCAGCCTGTATAATTGAGTTTAATTTGGTTGATTTATGAAGGAAATTCTGCACATAGACCTCCAACATGGCAACAAAAGGGTAGTAACTCTTGTTCAAATTGTGTAAATCGAAACCTATCTTCAGTTCCAATTAGTGAATACATTCATGTGCATCTTTGGTACTTAAGAAGGTAAATATACAACAGCTAAGGGGTCTTAATTTCTTATTTTATGCATAAATAAGTTAAAGACTTTCTTTGAAATAGATACTTTTATTCTGTTTTTACAGGAAGAAAAATTGCAGAAACCCATGGTAAATCTCCTGCTTTAGATAGCTGGGGAGAGAAAGTAACAATCCAAGCAACTATAGATCTTGTCAATATCAAAGGTAAATACAACAGCTCACATGATTAAATAATGAAAACAATGTCTTAAAGAAGTATAAGAATAAAAATTGGTTTATTGTAGCTTTGTGGTAAGATCTTTTGTTGTCTGTATCTGTATTTTATTCAAATATAGATATCAAGCTTTGACAAGTGCCACTAGTGAAACAGAAATGCTTACCCTTATGGAGTACTATAGTTAACCCCTGTTTTATTGCGGAATATGTGTTCCTCACGCTTTATTTTTATTTTTGAGTTCTATTTTTTGGAGTATGCTTTGTCCTTTTATGCTCCCAATCAAATTTCTGGAGCAAGTAGTAATAAGTCCTTACATCCAGGTGTTCAAAACAAATTGTTTCAAGATGAATACTTGAGGGTCCCTTGTGTGATTGGAATGAAACGTAAACAGATGCATGATTACTTGAGGGTCCCTTGTGTGATTGGAATGAAACGTATACAGATGGATGATTACTTAAGGGTCCCTTGTGGGATTGGAATGAAACGTAAACAGATGCATGATTACTTGAGGGTCCCTTGTGTGATTGGAATGAAAGGTATACAGATGGAAAGTATAGGAAAGAATCCCACTGATTTTGGGATCAATAGGTTAAATGACATGGTCACTGTTACTAAAAATAGGAAGAAAAAATGGAAAAATTGTTCCTAGATTGTAGTTCGAGTTTCCCCTTGCATGGTTGGAAAGAAATTTATATAGATGGAAAATATAGGTAAGGGGGAAAAGCCTATAGATTTTGGGGTGAATGGGTTGAAGATTAATATTAGAATAAGAAGATGTGGTATGATTGCCAATGAGACAACATTCCACAAAAGACAAAATGACACAGAAATTAACAACCATAGCTCACTGTACGTCCATCAACAATGAGTAAAACCCATACCGCATAGTCAGCTATAAAAGGCCCGAAATGACAAGTGTAAAACAATACAAACCAGAAAACTAACGACCTGATTTAAGTTCAAAATAATGAACAAAAAAAAAAATTTGATATACATATACAATCCCTTGAAATAAAAATGTTTTCTCTCAATAAATGTGCAGTTTGGTAAGTTTTTTTTTTTAAGGTTTTACACTGGTGACCAAACAGTCCACCAAGAAAGTTCTGAATTATATTAAATCTATGTCTTTTCAAGGTATGCCTCAATAAAGATTAACACATTGAGTCACTGAATTGAAACAATGTCATTTTGAAAGTTTGGTCATTTAACCGTACATCATGTACTTACATCATACCACACACCTCAAGATTTCTGTTTTATTTCCTAGACAGTGAATGTCACTGGGGAGAGACAAAGATAAGTCAGAGAAGACAGACATTCTGTAATAAAGTAGAGGGTTATGGTGATATATGTAGCTGTACTAATCCAGATCCTGTAGTCTTCCCACAGAAAAAGGTTTGGTTACATTATATGTGGAGCAGTTTAGCAATGCAATTAGTTGCCACTTCAGATACTTATCTTTTTATTGATTTATGTAAATCTTGAGTCCCCTGTATTCACTGATTAATAATTATATCTATTAAAATGTCTCTTGTTTCTGAAAAATATGTTTATCAATCCACAAATGAAGAAGATAAATTCTTTGTTGTATCAGTACAGCAGATTATACATTCTTATGAGCTCCGGTATACAAACCTTAACATGGCTTTACTTATAATTTTGCACTGAACAAATAAGTTGCATAGACATGTTCTGTAATGATAAATATTTTACATTAAGAAACATATTTATATATTTTCAGTTGATACCTAATAATATAGGTAAAGTACCAATAGTTATCATAGCTAGTGACAGACCACATTATTTATTTAGGTAAGTAATAGGCATTAATATCATATTATTTTTTGTAAGATGTAGGTCTAAATGTCCTTCAGCTATATTAGTTTGCAAATTACAATTCCTTAGTTTGTTATTTTGAGACCACATCCATATTTAAATTTTGGTCTTGATTTTCTTGTAGAAACAACAAAACGATATGTTTGGAGATTTATATTTGTCAAATCTTGAATACAGTGTGCAAGTCCCAACAATTAGTAAGAGCATAACAATTAGTAAGAGCACAACAATTAGTAAGATCGCAACAACTAGTAAGAGCGTAATAATTAGTAAGAGCGCAACAATAAGTAAGAGCACAATTAGTATGAGTGCAACAATTAGTAAGAGCGCAACAATTAGTAAGAGCGCAACAAGTAGTAAGAGCGCAACAATTAGTAAGGGCAAAAATTAGTAAGAGCACAACAATTAGTAAGGGCAACAATTAGTAAGGGCACAACAATTAGTAAGAGCACAACAATTAGTAAGGGCAACAATTAGTAAGAGCACAACAATTAGTAAGGGCAACAATTAGTAAGAGTGCAACAAGTAGTAAGAGTGCAACAATTAGTAAGGGCAACAATTAGTAAGAGCACAACAATTAGTAAGGGCAACAATTAGTAAGGGCAACAATTAGTAAGAGCGCAATAATTATTAAGAGCGCAACAATTAGTAAGAGCACAACAATTAGTAAGGGCAACAATTAGTAAGAGCGCAACAATTAGTAAGGGCAACAATTAGTAAGAGCACAACAATTAGTAAGAGGGAGACAGAGAACATTCTGTGAAATTATCTATAATAGGCTTATTTGATTCTAATGAACTACAAAATCCTAATTTTCATTGATTACAGAATGTTGAAGAATTTACTACAGATACCAGGTGCTGATCCTAAAATGATAACAGTATTTATTGATGGATATTTTGATGTAAGTTCTTTTATAGAGGAACAGGGTAAAAGAAGCCATGGAGTAAGGGGTCATTAATTAGTATTAAGTTTGAACCTCATGTTTAACAGAGGAAACGACATTCTTTCACTCATTCAAAATAAATGGTCAGGATATTTCAACTTGTGTTAAATGTTCAGTTTGCCATTGTTTGATAATTATGATTGTGATTATTCTTCTCACCCTTGGCACCATGATTGGCACCTAGAATATTTTTGTTGTTGTTCTCAAACCAGTATCCTGAAAATAGATAAAATTGTTCATTCATGGAGAAGTTTTCCTAATCTTCAATCAGTGTAGATTCCAGTAAGAACCTATTAATCAGCCATTCATTGAAAAAATACACTATTAGTTCTATGTTGTTTCTTCCAGGAACCTTTACAGGTGACCAAACTGTTTGGTTTACGTGGTATACAGCATACACCGTTAGGTGTCAAGAATGCCAGAGTATCACAACATTATAAAGCTAGTCTGACCGCTACATTTAATTTATATCCTGTAAGTAACTTGAATCTTATGTGTCAAGAATGCCAGAGTATCACAACATTATAAAGCTAGTCTGACCGCTACATTTAATTTATATCCTGTAAGTAACGACCTCTTAGGTGTCAAGAATGCCAGAGTATCACAACATTATAAAGCTAGTCTGACCGCTACATTTAATTTATATCCTGTAAGTAACTTGACCTCTTATGTGTCAAGAGTGCCAGAGTATCACAACATTATAAAGCTAGTCTGACCGCTACATTTAATTTATATCCTGTAAGTAACTAGACCTCTTAGGTGTCAAGAAAGCCAGTGTATCACAACATTATAAAGCTAGTCTGACCGCTACATTTAATCTATATCATGGGTAGCTTCAGTCTTGAATCTTATTATTATAACATCATTTTGGAAGAAAATAACGAAAGATATATGATCAAATAGCATTGTGAAATTGATGTGAACGGCAAAAATTGTCAATAAGTGACCGCTGAAACATACTAGTATTTGTATTGAATTGTATTATCACAAATCCATTCATTATTTGTTCTACAAATAACAAATCATGTCCATACTCAGGGTTTCATATTGAATATATTTCTTATATACAGGAATCAAAGTATGCAATAATAGTAGAAGAAGATTTAGATGTTTCTCCAGATTTCCTAAAGTAAGTTTTATGTACAAATCTTTTTTCAACAGACAAAGCATGGTCTAAAGACCAACACATAAATGTTTTATATGTTGTTAATTAAATAAAAAGCTTATAAATATTTACTGGTATTTTACACATAGGCCTTGTTCACCAAGGATATAAACTCTGTATAATGCAATGTAAAAGTAGAGAATTCAATTATTTTAGACAGGATGTACTATTAGAAATAATGAACAGGCATTATAAGACAAAGTTATCCTCATGCACAACTTTTTGTCTGATGGCATATTTCTATGAAAGTTTACAATAGCTACACAGAGGATCTCAGCCATTCAGAATATAAGGATAGCATAAGGGCAAAATGTTTGACCCATAGTGATAAATAGTTGGAGCTTGATTTTATTATCAATGAATTCTAAGTAGAAAACTTGATTCTCTAAATAAGAGAAGATATGGGGCGTATGTTTATGAAATAGCATCTGCACAACACGAAAAAATTCAATCAAATTTTGTATATTTTAATGGTTTATGTCTGTTATTTTGTCAGATTATCAACCTTTGGTTTATACTAGTTAATTTATTTCGACAATCTTTTTATCTATTTTTTTTTAGTTATTTTAGTCAGACGATTCACCTTTTAGAAGAAGATGATACCCTTTACTGCATATCTGCTTGGAATGATCAGGTATTTATAGAATTACATTTTAGGTAGTTTCAAGTTTTTTTTGGGAAACATGGGGTTAAAAATTTTACCAATTGTATATATACATTATTAAGAGAACTTCATTCTTCAGTGAATTGATAGCTTTTGGATGTACATTTTTTAGATCAATCTCTTTCAGGATATAAATAAAAAGAAAGGTTACCTATTATTATTTTTTTGCTATTTCACAAAGCAGGGTAAAATTTGGTTTGCTCTAATATCAAGTTCAATTATCTCTGTTCAAAATATTTATTTGTTCAAAAGTTATCTCCCCTTGTGAAATGACAGATTCTTTATTTCATGAATGGGTGTATTAAAAAATTTAATATTTTGTCAAGAAATTTTATTCACTTGCTACAGAAAGGGAATCTATATGTATTTCATACTTGAGTAACTGTGTATTATTTCAGGGTTATAACCATTCCTGTAAAGATGAAACATTGTTATACAGAATAGAAACTATGCCAGGTTTGGGATGGCTGTTAAAAAGAAAGTTATATAAAAATGAACTAGAACCACAGTGGCCAACTCCTGAAAAAGTAAGTTCAATATGAGTCATTTGTTGAAGTACTGTAAAATGATTAAATCAACATCAAAATTACAGAACTTTTAAGTGATTTGTGTGAGAATGCCTTGAAAATAAAATATAAAGATAACAGAAATAATACTGTACATAACAACATACTTGTAACAACATACTTGTTTCTGTACAGCTTGGAGTATAATGAATAATCTTATCTGATTACATCAAATCTGACTTCCTTTATTTAATAAATCATGTGAAATTATTTTTTCACCAAACCCAAACAGCTAAAATATATATTTTTTGTTTAAATAATATTTTAATCTCTTTTCCTGTGTGCAATTTTTTTTTTAATCTTCTCCTTTGCAACTGTGCTAGTTGGAAACAAACATGGTCATCAACATATCTTGGATGTTCACTTTCAAAATTATATCACGAACTGAACAATGTGTGCACCATTATTTTGAATAGAATATTGGTGTAAATTAGGCAAAGCAGTAATTTGCTGGAGTACATTTTGTGAATATATCATTAAATATTTTTGGTATGCTTAATAAAAAGCAGAATTTATGTGAACAAGAATTAATATGTTATATAAACAGAAAAAACCAAAGGAATGTTTATATTTGAACAGCAATAGGACAGAAATATGTGAACAAGAATTAATATGTTCTTTAAATGTTTATATTTCAACAGCAATGGGACTGGGATATGTGGATGAGAACAAATATGATCCGTAAAGACAGAGAGTGTATTATACCAGATATATCAAGGACATATCATTTTGGTTCTAAAGGACTCAATATGAATCCATATTTCCAAGAAGTCTATTTCAAAAAACATTCCTTTCTCACAAAACCTAATGTTAAATTGAAAGGAGTGGACAGGTAAGACATTCAATATTTCTCTTATAATTATTTTCTTGTTGCACTTGACAAATCCAAAAGTAAAGATTCAATGCTTAAATTGCAGTTCTTCATCTCAAAGTTGCATTTAGACCATCAACAAGCAGTAAAATGCTAGGACCTCTCTGCAAGCTTAAAATAGCATCTAGCATCAGTTTTGAGTTAGATTCTTTGCTAGATGTGGATTAAGCTACATTTGTGTTTATGGTAGGTTTCTGTATAGTTTTTGTATGCCATAGCAAAAATAAGTCTGATTTTAGGTAACTCTATTGTTGCTGCAAAAAATTTGCAAATCATTTTCGTACTAGTTCATATAGTTTTTTACACGATAAATAGAGATATGTCAGAAAAAACAGCCTATCATATGTTTTTATTGTAAAAGATTATTTGCAGATTTAAGTTTTTATTTGCAGAATGAAGAAAGATGCTTATGAAGAATTAATAGTAGAACTAATTAAGTCATCTGTATTATTAGATCATTCATTAGATCCTTGTAAAGAAAACTTTTTACCTCATAATCAGGCAAGTTATTAAAAAAAAAAAAGTAAAGTAAAGTAATCTTTAAATAGCAACTTATACATCAATCAATTCAAGCAGTACACATGAATAAATACAGAGCACATGCAATATATAAAGCAAAGCAACACATAAAAAGTACAAAACACATACAGGCATTAAAAGCCAATACAAAAAAGGACATGAATGTAAGGAAAGTTATCCTAATATTAATTGGCAGTTCATAAAAATAATGTGTAAATGTTTATAAACTTCTCTTCTTGTGTTTCTAAACATCTGTTGCATTTGTTATATCTCAGTCCTACTATTTTGTTTAAACTTAGATTTGATGTTCCCTCATTTAAACTTGCTTCTGTTTTACTTGACATCAGTTTCAAGGCAATTATGGTCAGTGATAATATTCAATTAACAACTTAAATGCATTTTAACCATCATGATATGCATACAATATGAATTGATAATACATGATATGACGTGAACTACTTGTCAATAATCATATTGTTGTTTCTGGTTGATAAGTCATAGATAAGATAACAAAAATGCTGTATATAACAATATGATTATAGACAAGTAGTTCACGTCATATCATGTATTATCAATTCATATTGTATGCATATCATGATGATTAAAATATATATAGATTAACTTTGTCAACAAGTTTAAGATTTTATTTTTTTTTTCATTTCAGTTAGAACCTCATTTAATGTATATTTCCATGAATATATCAACAGATTATGTTACCTGGAAACAGTTGGCAAAGGTAGTTTACGTTAAGTCAGCCATGATAAGTTAATAAAGATCTTCACAGAGGATATAGGTTCATATTCCATGTCAGTGTTATATATTTCCTGAAAGCGATATGGGAGACTGACAAGGAGTATGAATATAACAATTATATTTTACTGGAGAGTCCTGATCTCAACAATAACTACAATTCTAATCTTCATTATTTTTTCACAGGGGATATGATAAATAGATTTCATGTTTAGATATATGCCATAATACAACAGAAAAATGCAGTTCCATTTTTCATACCAAATTTTAAAACTTTTCACATTTATTTTAGGTACTGACCAGGGTATGATGAATTATTAATTCAAGATTGAAAAAAAAAATGAGTGGGAAAGATTAGTTATGAATCAATTTACATCACACAATAACCCAATGAAATGCTTAGAAATATAATGAAATAACATTACAGGAGTGTCCGATAATTCCGCCCGTCCGGTAAACCCTCCCACTCCCATTTATTTACGTAATTGTCACTTCTGTGAATATTTTGTCTGCTATTTTATTCATAGGAACTGTACTTATCATCACTGCATGTCAAATTTTAAAGAAAAATCATTTATTATGAAATTATCTTGTGATATATATAATACAGTTCCTAAAGCTAACGATAATCATATTATTGCTTACAAAACTCATTTCTGACTTGAAATTTATTATTTTTTGGATTATCTGGAATCCCTATATTTTTGGTTTATTAATAGATCACCTTTTCCTGTATAAATTTGTGACAAACTGGCCCTCCATACATATTTACTGTGCATGCACAGATTTACTGGACAAACACATTTCCGATAAAAACACGGATGACCCACTTGTTTTGTTGGTTTTAAAATTTATTTCAGATATTTTTTGGGAAATGAGGTAAACTACTCAGAATTGATTTGTCAGTGAATCGATTGATATTAAATTTGATACAATTTGTATACAATTAAGAAGAAATACATACAATCAAAGCCTTATGTGGGCGGATTTACCAGACTGCATCGTACTTTTAATGCTGTTTATCATCAGTGTCTATAGTGTCTTCACAATGAACTTTAAATCTCACACATTATTGCAAGATCTAAGTATAAATTTAAAATGGTTGAAAATACTCCATGATTCATTTCAATAATGAAGTATAACTAAAATAGCGTAAGTTTAAGAATTCGGTTTGAAGCATATTTAAATATCATTAATTTATACCATAATATTACTTTATATTTTGTAGTGCTATCATCTATGGGACCTAGATGTCAGAGGTTTTCATAAGGTAAGACAGATGGTACTATTGGAGAATATATACATTACATATTATATCAAGCTATTGGTATAGTATTCCAATTTTTCTGCCATGGGAAATTATTTTCCACTTTATTTTGATACAGAGAGACAGTTGTGCTTTCCTGGTAACATTCAGTGGTCTCAATCAGTTAACACATTTTAATCTTTTCATAATGCCTTCAGACATTGAAAAAAATGGGAAATTACTCTTTATATTAATTTTTAAGTGATTGATAATGCATAATAATTGCATTTGATAAAGTGAATATTTAAAAAGTAAACAACTTAAATAATAATGTTGATGTCATTTAAAAGATTTATTTTACATTATAAGAAATTTCTGATTAACAAATGATTTTAATTGATTCTATTGTAAGTGTTATCTTTCTTTATACAGAGTATGTGGAGGTTATTCATTAATGGTACACCTGTAATTATGGTTGGAGTTCCAGCTTCTCCTTATAGGTAATTAATAAGTCAAGAACTATTCAGAAAAATGTGTGGGTGTCATTTCTATTTTTGATTTAAAAGAAAATTAAAGTTAATCTTTGATTTACTTGAAGTTCAACCTCTTACTACACTTCCATATTTTTGTTCTCTCTAAATCTGATAATATCCATAACATTTAAATATCTTATATATTTTATATATTCAGTATTAAGTCTACATGGCTTTTTCCTGCTAATAAAATCAAAATGAAGGAGTATATACATCAATGAGACAGCAGCCCAACAACACAAAAATCTTTTAAGTTTACAAGGCTAATGTGGTCATTCTGTAAGATTTGAGAACATTCAAAAAGCTTTTAAATTGTATTTTACCTTGTTTGTAACCATCCGAACAGTTTCAAGGGTGTGTTACTGAAAAGATACTTGAATTTTTTTTAATTTTCTTTTTCTCCTTTATTTTGAATAATAACTTTCAATCAGTAACTATCATATTATTACTTAACCCTTAAAATATTATTCAGGAAAATATATGCGAGGCTCAGATCGACGTCCGGTCTCTAATCGACGTCCGTTCCTCAAATCGATGTAATAAAATAACATTCCAAATCGACGGCCAATTTTCTGTCCCTCTTATTGACGTCTTTTTTGTTGTTCTCAAATCGACGTCCAATTTCTGACTTGTCTAATCGACTTCCTTTTATGGACTTACCAGAATGACGTCATAACTTTATTTAATAATAATAATAATGTTTTATTTAAAGAGGGTTACACAGTTAGCTTTTAAAAGTAATCTTCCCTGAGGCCCCCTGTCAACTTTCAACGTTTCCATGCAGAAAAGTGTTATTCAGATAATAGAATATAGCTAGCTATTGAATGTATAAACTGTATATGGTTTTGCTAATATATATTTTTTTTAAACTAGGAATAATTGCATTGTAAACAATGTTAACCTGATAAAAATTACTCAAAAATACTAAAAAAAAGGTCAATTTCTGCTATCACAAAAAATGACGTTGTTGATGGCTTCAACAATGGTAAAGACACAGTACCTAATGAAGGATATGTTTGGAGAGAAAAAGGAATAAGCAAAGATCCAAACGCCGAGACATTTTTTGGGCCGACATGTCGGTGGTTGTCTTATTGTCATTTTCTGATGTTTGTCCTTTTATTTTCAAAAAAGATATAAGAAAACAATTTGTTTCTTTATGCAGCTTTACATAAAGACAAAACGGTACAGATGATATAAATAAAGATCAATCTTATAACAATAATGCTGCATCGGATAGAAATCGACCTCATGCAAATCAATATCAATACATCTGTCACCAAATCAGGTTGACCAAATCTCAATGGAAAGTCTTTAACTGTTTGAAAATTGAGTTGTTATAAGAACACTACAAAACGGACCAAAATTCATCTTTTGTTTCGTATTTGAATGTTCCAAAATCAAAGTCTTATACAGGTACATGTAATTTATTTTTTATTGATATTGGACATTGATTAGAGAAGACTACAATTGATTGGACGTTGTTTTGGCAATACATAATGTCACATTGGACATCGATTAGAGGGTAAAAAAATTGGACACTGATTTGAGAATGCAGGTCAGATTTGGAAGTTGATCTGAGTCTAACATATATATCATTAATTATCCTTTGAAGTGGTATAAAAACTTGTTCAATACAACAAATAAAAGGGATAAAAAGATGACAGTTGTACACAAAAAAAATTACAAAAAGGATAAAAAGAAGACAGTTACAAAACATTACACAAAGGATAAAAAGTTGACAGTTGTACACAAAACATGAAAAGATGACAGTTGTACACAAAATATTACACAAAGGATAAAAAGATGACAGTTGTCCACAAAACATTACACAAAGGATGAAAAGATGACAGTTGTACACAAAACATTACACAAAAGATAAAAAGATGACAGTTGTCCACAAAACATTACACAAAACATGAAAAGATGACAGTTGTACACAAAACATTACACAAAAGATAAAAAGATGACAGTTGTACACAAAACATTACACAAAAGATGAAAAGATGACAGTTTAAAAAAGAATAATTATATTAAAGCAGTTTATGACCAATATTTGCTAACATTTATGTCAGAGGTTCATTGGTGGATAGTTGTCTCATTAGCAATCATACCACATCTCCATGTTTTATATTAGTAATTTTTATTTTATATTTCAGAGTTTATAAGCCAGAAAATATAAAACCAATATACATTCCAGAACCAACAAAGAAGACTTGATGAAAAAAATCTGTGATGCAGTATTGTTAGGCAACAAGAAAAGACGTTGTGATAAGAAATAGTCAGATCTGAATTTATATTTCTTATTTACCAGTATTTCAGGAATATAGAACACCGAAGGGAGTTAACTCTTTAAAAATCGGCTGAATGTTTTAAACGCATACTATTAGGAAAGAGAAATCAAGCGTCTCAATGATCAAAATAAGTGTTTCAGGTTGCTATATATCCAATGAAATTATTCCTATAAATTGCGCAAATTTTTATATTTTGGTCAACAGGTCAAAGTTAATATTTTGTCAAAATTTTATGAAAATTAAACGAGCTAAATCTATTTTTGTCAAAGTGTTGGGTACCCCCTTAAGGGATTGTTTTATAAATCTTGACAAACATCTTATAACTTGTATGATTTATGATTGCATGATACAGTCTTATCTTTTTAATGAGTACTTTTAACGATCACTTTGGGATTTTAACCTTTTTTCCCTTAAAAAAGTAATCATGTTACAAAATGACAGAAACTTTTCAAATTGACTTATTTGTAGGTCTTTCACTGTTTGAAAGAATTTAATAGAGTTCAAATGGTTGAAAAATCCTTTACTTCGGTTGAAATTATCCCTTAACTTAAAAATACATAAAATTAAATCTAATTGAAGTTAATTTACCATATAACATTAATTATACATAACACAAAAGGTTTGGAATACCTCTATCATTAGTTTTTAGTCCCAATGGTTAAAATGGTGTATAAAAGCTATTGTACAATGCTTAAACTTTTTATACCCCGACTCAGAGCTGACATATACAATATTACCCTTTTCATTCCTTCAATTATTGCATTTTCTATATATTGTTACATAATGATGAGTTTAAGATGCACTTTGTCTTTCATTCTGATTGATATATTTTAACAGATTAATGGTTCAAGAAAAGGTATCTTGTTCAGACCATTTTGGTTATGTTTGTAGATCTATACTTTGTTTTGTAGTCTTATAATGATGAGTTACAGATGAACCTTAAATTCCATTTTGTGTTCTTTTTCTATGTTGAATTAAGGTGTTTTGACCTTGAAAAATTCCTGAACATTATACTTGATAGGCTTCTTTTATTAACATGTTTTGCCTGTGAAAAAGTTTGTGTTTTCATCCTGATTATTCATTATGATGTAAATGGTTTTATTTACCCCTGCTCAAAATTAGGGGGTAAATGGTTTTAGAATACCCCTGCTCCAAAGAAGGGGATAAATGTTTTATTATATAAATGTTTTTTTATACCCTTGCTCTGAAATGGTTTACCTCTGTGAGTCCGTTGAACACATTTTTCTCACATTTTTCTCAGCAACTACAATTCATAGCGTCTTGATATATTGCACCAAGCTTTGCTTGTTTAAAACTCAACAAAATTGTTTTAAGGAATAAATAGTAAGCAAATGTCCACATTAACTGTTGTTTTCCTGGAGTTATTCCCCTTATATCTCATGCTGATGATGTGACATTAGTATGATACCAACATTAAGTTAGTAGTAATTAACAGAGATGACAATAGCAGCACTTACTATGTAAGAATATTCTACACAAGTTTTGACAAAAGTTTTGAGTTTCATCATTAAATAATTTTGTTTGAACATTTATATAACAGTGGATGCATTTTTAATAGCTACTGTGTCTATCTTGTTCATATTGAACCAATATATGTTTCATCTATTGCACTATCATGGAATTTATTTTAATATGTGGCATTAGAATTGAGATAGGTAAACTAAACTGGTGACAGTAAAATCTACCTTTTACAAAGGCCAAGCTTAAAATACAATACAGTTATCTTCTAAATCTGTCTTATAAAAGTAGAAGGTACAATAAGGCCACTTTTTTGGCCCTTGAATTAGAATTTTTAAAAGTGTTATAAATCTACAATATTAAATCCTTCAGATGTTCATTATACACTAGTCTGTCAACATCAGTATATTTTTTGATTTAGTATTACATGTTGGCATTAGGGCTTAAAACTTCTTCCATTTATTGCAAAACAGCAAATACTGCCAAATAGCCTCATTTTGAGACAGTTTTAGCCCAAAAGACATTTTGCTACAAAATGTTATCTTTTTTGAGTAATGCTTTGCTCATATTTATTTTAACCAAAAACTATGCATGAAATTTTTGTCTTTTATTTGACCATTTTAGGTCAAATATGTAAATTTCCTCATTTTAATGTCTTGACAGTGACAACAGAAGTTATATGTTGCCTAAAATAGCCATTCGAATACACAAAGCCTGAAATGGCCAGTTAAGAGACTCCTTTAAATATGTATAATCTGAAATTGTCCTTAAAAAGACATATAGCATAAAAAAGACTTTGAAGTACATGAAACAGTCTTTCTAGTACATAATAGTCTAAAGTAAACCTTCAAATACGTGTAGTCTGGAATTGTCCTTCTTATACATGTACTTGAAATTATATTACTTATATTAATCCTTTTAAAAGCATAATAAATAAAATTGTCAATTCTTGAATCAGATATTTTCATTGTTGAAGGTGCTGAAATTGTTATTAAATTTTCTTAAAAATAATGATTTGTTGTCTGATGAATTTATAATACGGGTTGAGCATACACGTGAATATACATGTTAAGTCTGCCATTAGAACAGTTCTATCATCTAGTCAAAATTTTCTGATATGACATATTGCCATTTTTTATTATTGCCTAATCATAAGGTGAAATGGGTTGGCATTTTCAATGTGTAAATTAAATATGTGAAAGTTTGATACTTCCATTTCTTGTATGAAATCACATTTGATTATCATTAAAACAACTTTTCCTTCTACACCAATTCTTTCTGCTATATACATTTGTATGTGTCATTATATTAATCAATTATTAATGTTATGTACAAAGTTATCAACCAATTGTTTCATGTCATTAGATTATTTAAGTTAAGTCTGACATAATGAGATGCATCCTGTTTAAATGATATATTGCATTGATTCCTCTCCAATATTTGATACTTCTAGATTCTCAGCAGATCAAGATTACCATATTCTTTCTATTGCAGACAAATACTTTTGTTTTATACTGTTTGTGTAGAATACATTTAGATATACTATACATGCCAAGAATTGATAACCAAAAATAATCCATTTTTGTGGTTGTGATAGTATTGACAACTTTTACAGATTTTTATTTGTTTGTATTTTATAGCTATATACCATTAATTAGTAATAATAAATTTTATAACATAGTTTCAAATTTTTTTAACAAACTTTTAAGAATAAGTTGTTACTGCTAGGGTATATGAATATGGATATCTTGTTTTACCCTCTCTGCTTTGGTATTTGCCAAAATGTATATGTCTTTTGTACCATAAACAGAGATGTTTGATTCTCAGTGTGCTTTTCTGCATCTTGAACTGACAAGCTAATCTCATTGTGCCTACTTATAAAGGCATCTATGCCTAAAACCAAATCCTTTGATGGAATCATAACAAATATTTGAATCAAGTATATTGCTTTTGATAAACAATAAGTTTGACATCTTTTTAGACATCTCCCCATGACAATACTTGAAATCAAGTTAATTGGAGATGAATAATGAATAACATTTTGATAATTTATGCTTATCGTAAATATTTACTTGAATCATGTATTAAAAAATCAGAGTTAATTTTTCTTGAATTTGTACATTTTTTGTTCAGTTGAAATAATTGGAACTATTTTATAAAAGTGTTATTACAAAAATATTGAGGAACATTATGCAATTACTTAACACTATATATCATAGATAGGTTTTATTAGTTGTTAATACTTATATATATTTAGTTATTTTCATCATGTGTCATATTTTGTGGAGATATTTTGACATGTCATTTTTACAACTGGTTTTGAAAAATAATATATGGTGATGTACAGATTTCTATGTTGAGCAGATTTTATTTTTTATCATCATGGTTAAGGTACAATTATCCAAAGTCACAGTAAAGACATTTGCTTTGGTTTTAATATGATCTTTTTTTTTTTTTGAAAAGTGCAATATTTTGATAATTTGAATTCAGAATTTTCACAGATACTAATTAACTTAAAAGCAAAAGCAAATATATGAGTTCAATTAAGTAGTATATAGCTTCCAGAATTAGGAAGGCAATGTTTTTTATTATTTCTTGCTTCATAATGCTGTTTTGAGATCTTTTTTTGTTAATTTTTACGTTAGATTAAAGTGTTTATATTCTGATTAACTTTAGAACAACCAGCTTTAAACCAGATCTCAGTTTATGTTTGATTTTACATAATGAGCTTTTCACTTGTAAACTCTCTTTTTTTGAAGGTTTGAAATCTGTCAGTTTTCACATTTCTTTTTCAATTTGTAACTGAAGAGTTATCTCCCATGAAGTGAATATGTTAACTGAATAAAAATTTCAAAGTTTCGTACTGTTGTTTACTTATTTAGTAAAACTGGATCAAGGAATTGTTTCTTTAAAGCTGTATTATAACTTAAATCTTGTATTTAATTAATTGCTGTTGGCTGTAAAAACTTCCAAAATACCAATAGAAACACTGGCTTCAGTGTGTAGAATACTTGAATGTTAAGATTGCATCAAAATTAATTGATTGAAACTGAATGTTGTTTGGTTCACATAACATGACCAACAGGTAGGTCTAAACACTGCTCAGGACATACAAAGTGCACTCAGGACTCTTTATAGTCATCGTATATATGCACACACGAAGAATGTATATATTCGTTGCACGCTGTTTATTTTAGTGGTAAATTTTGGTAGATTTTGAAAACGAACTTAAATAGATATTTATAATTTCTATAAAATAATGAGGGCACGTGTCACTGATTACATAACTACTCAGCCGTGAATAATCCAATCAACAAAATTTATTGGATTATCCTTATTGCTTATGAATATCATGTTATTAGAACAGTGTTTTAATAAAATTTAATTATGTGATATTTTAAAGTTGTTTCGGAATTGATTTATGTAATTACGTTTACTTTATGTGCAGTGAATTTTACAATAATGGAGAAAAAAATCAAAAGTCCCATTAAATGTATTTTAATACAGTTTATGTGTAATGAGGACAGCTAAATTAATTTTGTTATTGTACATTCTGCAGTTCTTAAGTAAAAGAAATAACAATTGATATTGTTTTATAGTTTGTCTATTACAAGTTCGTTTTTGTTTTTCTTACTGAATTTTTTTCCCCTCTCCAACATCAACAAAATAAAGAATATCATTTTTTCTTTAATATAATCATACAAAGGCAGACAAGTGTTTTTTGTGTTGCTATGTCTAATAACATAGGCTAACGCTAAAAGCTTAAAAAAAAATTATTTCAAAATTTCACTCGTTAGAGAAATGACTTACTGGATAAGAATGAGTTTTAATGGCGATTTTTCTTTTTTTAAATAGAATTTGCGTATAATAGCTGTATATGAATAATATTAAACTATATGAGGAGTTTAAAGATGATTAAGTAAAAAATGAAAACGTTAAACGACAAGTGTCTTGGAAATATGTGGATACACTTTCAATAGTCAAAACGTGTTATTTATTTAAATGGATCTTAATAACAAGAAATTATAACAAAACACACAAATATTTATATACATATATTTCGGTAATTTTTTATAATGTATTAGGCGCTCTATTGATGCATTATCCGTTTTTTTTAACTATCAATGCTGAACCACACCTATGAAGTCTTATATGATAGGACTTTCCTCGTAGTTGAAACAGAGTTTTTATCCCAAAGGACACCACATTTTGCAATGAATTAGATCTATATTTTTTTAACGTTTTCAAATGAAATTAATTGAATGGAAAATTTCCTGACTACAGACAGGACAAGACATATATGTAGATTTCTGAAATTTTTCAACTGGCTTCAATTATTACAAACAAAACAAAAAGACTTAGTTTATTTAACATTTTTGCTAAAACAATAAATCTTTATTATTTTTATTTTTCCAATGAAACCTTTTTTGTTTGTTTGCCAAGATTACTTGTATGTGTTTATTACCATCACTAGTCACTCCTAAGTAATAAAGATCAAAGGACCTAATCAACATGATAGTTAGTATTCAATAGAATCATCAGTCATGCATGACATATCCCAGGAAAACGGCACGTGCTGATAAAACTTCAATAACTTCTTAAATATTGGACTGATTTTATTTAGACAAAAACTATAAGATCCAAAATTAAATTATCTATCGAATGCATACCCTCAACGCTCACTCAAACATCTATTACATGTCCTGAGTGCACTCAGGAGGTCCTGAGCGGTTTTTAGACGTACCGCATGACCAACATGGTCTTGTATATTCATAACAAGAACAAATACAAATACAAAGAAGACATATATATATCTTTATTCTCAATAAACCATATACATAGGTATAGAGAAGACAGTTGTGACTTTCAAACTGGTGTGAACAACTTTCAAACTCTTACGTATGACTTTCAAACTCTTACGTATGACTTTCAAACTGATGTGCATGGGTTGGAGTTATGTTTGGATTTCAAGTGACTTAAACTGAGTCAAAGGTCAAGTACAAGTTTTGAGTTAGAAAAGATTTGTAGGTGCAATCCAGAATAGATTGAAACAGTATTTTGGACGGTTTAGAACCTGACATAGAAACAAGTTAACTTTTGAAGACTATGTAAAAAGAAGTTTACTTTTGAAAAAAGAAAAATATAATCGTTTGCATTCAAACTGAAAAACAAAATAGACTTGGTGTATATGGTGCTTTCCAGTTTGAAAGTCATGGAAAATAAGAATTGAGTGTCAGCACATATAAACTACTGTTGTAATATAGTATATTCTGTGGCCCAAGCTTGTGGTACTGACTATCATGCAAATGAAACACTTTTCCTGAATTTTTTTTTAACCCCATGCCAAAATAAAGAATAGCTATTATCAATGAACATACATACAATACAGACAATATGATAACTGGGAATAGCCATATATCAAATATCAATCTATTTATTGCTGTTCGTCTGCTTTGCCATGTCTTAATATTGTACTATTTAGGCTCTATTTAACACTAACCAAATTTGTAAGTTTGGTAATAACATGCAAGTGCATGTACTATTTAATGGTTATAACATAAGAAGTTATATTTTAATGATATGCATATAAATGTTTATCTTACATTGATTTAAATTTTTAATTTGCAATATCAATCCTGACCTTCATTGTTGGCATACCAATATTACTATATGATCATTAATTATCCTTCTTTACAATATTGAATATCTTTATTTTGATTGTAATAAAATTATATCATTCATTCATAGAAATTAAAAGCAATAAATTATATATTGTCAATTGTTATGAATTGACTATAACCTCTATATCACATTTAGATTAAATATGTGGTTTGATGTTTTCCTGGTTGAACTAAAGGAACAAAACAATATGTATAAAATCCTGATGTAGATAAAAGGAACAAAGAAATAGTATAGTCATGGTTTAGTAGTATAGTCAGGGTTTAGTAGTATAGTCCGTGTTTTATTAACGATAGTATAACACACCATGTCATCAGTATTATATTACTGAAGTACCACTGGATGACACGTAATGGAAGTAACATTATATGGTCATTGGATGATTTCTTATATCATATAACATCCTGCATCACAGAAGTCACCAATTACAAATCTAAAAATAAATACAGATACATTAATCAGTCACTGGTCAATTTATTCATAAAGCTTATTCATACCAAAACCAAAACTAAATTGACCATTGAATTATATATAAATATTTATGTCAAATGCACTAAATGAAAGAAAATTTTGAAATGAACAAATTGCTTTGATGGAATATAATTACTCATATTTTTCAATAGAATATAAAATCCATCATATTACCAAGCAACCAGAACAATTGTCTGATTACTTATTTGGAGTTGCCAACCAAAACAGACCCCAAATTTTGGGAAAAAGGAGGTTATATCTCACCCTCTACCACCTGTAGGAGGGTATGGAGCAGAGTTTTATCTCAGTCTCTGCCACCTGTAGAAGGGTATGGGGCAGTGTTTTATGTCACTCTCTGCAACCTGTAGGAGGGTATGCACAGTGTTTTATCTCACCCTCTGCCACCTGTAGGAGGTTATGGGCAGTGTTTTATGTCACTCTCTGCAACCTGTAGGAGGGTATGGGCAGTGTTTTATCTCACTCTCTGTCACCTGTAGAAGGGTATGGGGCAGTGTTTTATTCCACCTGCTGCCACTTGTAGGAGGGTATGGGCAGTGTTTTATCTCACTCTCTTGTCACCTGCAGGAGGGGATGGGACAGTTTTTCAAACTGATTTTTTTATCACCTTTATGTTACTGATGTTTGGTTCACTACTGTTTACTATGTCTAGTCTATAATGTAAAACTAATCAGATATTTGGTAAAACAATATCCTCTGGGTATATCATATCATTATCACAATTTCCCTTTGTTGTTTTTTCTATTGATTGTAGTTTTATGACTATTTTTCTGTTTCTATGTTGATAACCTAGATGATAATGTTGTAATTATGTAATTATTTTAAAAGTCTGGTAATGTTTAAAAAGTATCTATGAATAAAAATCATTATTGTGAAATTTCATCTGATCTTCCAAGGATAGTTTTGTATGACTAAAATATGTAGTATTTCTAAACATTGGTTAATTTTATTATAAGTTGTAATTTGTTGCTTTTAAAATTGTTTTGTAATTATGAGTTGTTTTCGAAAAGCTATAATTTTTTAAACTGTAAATTGCTACATTAGTTTACAAGGGTAGATTCAATGAGAATTTTACCTTCACCGTGTAAAAAAACAAAGTTATACCAAATATATTTAATAAATCACACATTATGCTTAAAAGGAGATGATGTGTCGTAATGAGACAGCAACCCAAAAACATGTTAAATCCATTTCAAATGAAACATTTGGGGTCAAACAACAATTATGAATTTGAAATAGATGACTTAAATATTCTGTGTATCTGGTTACTGTAAAAATGTTATTAGTAGAACTATTAGGAAACACATTATAAACTTCACAGAGATGGCTTAATAAAACCAAAGTTCATACAGTCAATGCATTTTGACTGTGCAATTAGCAAAGTTGCTGTATGAAAGAAAATAACATCTTTAGTAGTATATGCCTCCTTTTGTTGTATAATTGTGGATACTTCTGGACTATTTTATTAAGTAGAAAGGAGAAGGAAAAACTTGTACAAGCCACATAACTTAGGAGGAATAAGTTTGAAGTTTGGCACTCCATACTTGATTTTATTTAACTTGCACATTAGTTGTTCTTGTTTCATTTTACACTAACATATGGAATAAGTTTTTAGGTAGAAGTCATTGATTCTACCAGAGATCCCATGTTTTACAGTCCAGCGACTGACAAGGAAGAAAACAGTTCAGACT